TCTATCTATTGTTTAACAACCTAAAGATCTATTTTAAATTCTTTCATCTTGTGCTACAGACATGGCTATATGCATATGAGTTACTTTATACCCATGCATTCTAATAATATCAATTGGTTTTACAAACTTTATGGTTTTAAACTCATTAATATGTGGGAATTGAACACTTTGATTTCAAATATAAGCTGAGAGGCAAATGGCACACCACTATGAGAAAGAATAAATGTTGGAGACAGGAGAGGAATCCTGTTGTTAGAAAAAAAAAAAAAAGCAACATATGCTCCAAATTAAACACACACACACAAAAAAAACTTATCCATTGTTGAAATTATTGAATGTGGTATTGATCATTTCTAGACACCATAAATTCAAAAAAAGTTTTTATTATAATTTCTACTCATATCATTAGCTGACTTTGAAATTACTTTATGTGTGAACTATATAAACAAATTTATATTTTATACCTTAAAGTGCATAAACACCAGGTTTAGGAATTCACACAATGAAGAACACTTCAAGGTCTTAAAACATTTTTTTAACATGTCTAGACTATAACTAAAGCATTTCTTTCATAGCCAGAAGAAAAATATTAAGAAAACTAACATGCATCACCAGTTCATGTGCAAATGTTTGTTTCATTAGGAGAAGTATATGAACAATGTCCATTAAGAGTTTATAATTGCATATATATGGAAATGTGAATTTCGTAATTCATATTATGATACTGTATGCAAGCTAATTTTTGAATGAGAAATTGAAAAGTTGCCTCTGTATCCACAAATCAAAAACACAGTTTTCTATACAATGAAATAGATAAATTACATTTTAAAATATACCTTATACTTTTGGCTACCTAAAAGCTGTTTCGATTTCAAATGAAAAATGTAGACCATAAACACTTAGTTTTTCATGGATTGGCTCTTGTGCAAAAATTTTGGCTCCCCACTGGGTTATATACAAATGAGCAAATGTTCCAGCAGAACCAAATATGCCTCACAACCATATGTGCCAATTGCCTCACAAACACACTTTAAGTCCTTTCACAAAGAAAATATGAAACTTCTTAGGGCTGTGATGACCAATTCAGTTGGATGACAGTGGAAGGATTAGGGGAAAGGAAGATAATGTAGTATTGGGAGGATCAAGCATGCTCAAACTTCCTCTGGCCACAGTAATTTTCACCCTGGATCACTGTTAAATCCTTTTGACACAAGATTATGTGTAGGTGGTACAAGGAGCACAACAGAGAGCTAAATTCTAAATCAACACATAATGGATCTGGACAGACAAGTGCAAAGTCACCAGGATCTGAGGCAGGCAAGGCTTAACTGTAACCTGACAGAAGGTATTAAAATAGCTAAAGAAAGAATTTGTCAATCAAAAGGAGGATTATATGTTAGCAGTAGAACCACAAAATGACAGAAAGCGAAATTTTTAGGTTTTTCAAGTGTCTTATATGGAGGGACAGCTTAATATTTTGAAATTTCAACAACTAAAAAAATTGATGTAGAAAAATTAACTGTTTTCTAAAAATAATATACTAATATCTAGTGGCATAATGCACACAGTTAATCTGAATGCATAACTACACTGCTGTGGCCTAATTTCAGGGTGTAAGTCATATAAACTTATATGGTTAGTTTGACTGTTTTTCTGGAACTAAGTTTTGAAGTTATTTATATTGGGTTATTTAATTAATTTATTTAAATATTTATTTATTTATTTATTTATTTTAGAAAGACAGGAAGGGGATGGGAGGAAGAGAGAGAGAGAGAGAGAGAGAGAGAGAGAGAGAGAGAGAGAGAGACATTGATTTGTTGTTCCACTTATTTATGCATTCACTAGAGGCCCAGTGCACAAAATTCCTGCAGGGTAGGGTCCATAGGCCTTGCCGGTGATCAGGGCTGATCAGGGCTGATCAGGGCCCACTGGCTGCTGGCTGCCTGCTAGGGCATCCCTTTCTCAGCTTCCAGCTCTAGCAGGGTTCTTCCTTCATTCCATACCTCTGCCTGGTGGTCAGTGCACGGTATAGTGAGTGATCGAACTCTCGGTCTCCTGATTGAACTCCTGAGGGGACAATTTGTATATTAGGCTTTTATATATATAGATTGGTAGACCCCTGCCTGTATGTACCTGGATGGAAGATGGAACCTGCAACTTTGGTGTATGGGAGTGATACTCTGACCAACTGAGCTACTCAGCTAGGGCTATGGGGTTCTTATATTTGTTTAAACATTTTTAAAAATATGTTTTTATTGATTTCAGAGACAGGGAGAGAGAGATAGAAACATAAATGATGAGAGAGAATCATTGATCAGCTGCCTCCTGCACACACCTTACTGGAGGTCAAGCCAGCAACCCAGAGCATGTGCCCTGACCAGGAATCTAACTATGATCTCCTGGTTCATGAATGCTCAGCCTCTGAGTCACACCAACCCAGCTACTGGGTTCTTTTAGATTGCTGACTCCTCCAGTAGGCCCTGATCCTTATGTGTTCCTGACTCATCCTCCCTTCTACTCTCCAGTTCTATTTCCTTTCTTTATTCTCTTTATTTCTTTTGTGTCCCATTGACATTTTTTTCTTCTAGCCCACTCTTTTCCCTTAACCTCCCAGGGTATGTTATTTGATCATATTCCTCTCTTTCGTTTTCCAGTAGCCCCTCATACGAGGAAATGAGAAACCATTCTCAGGCCTCTTGTTTCCCTACCATACTCCCCTCATCCCCAAGCTCATGGAAGGTAACCTCTTGAGTGCAACTGGGCTTAGGGAGTGAGAAAAGTGATTGTCCTTAGTTCATAAACTATTTGTTGAGAATTTTGGCATCTGTGCTCATTGTACTTTTCTTTTTTCCTTTATATTTTTCTGGTTTTGGTGTTACGGTGACCTTTCTGTAGGACATCACTGCATGGTCTGTTTCCCACTTAGGGCTGCACCCAGTGTCCTGCTGTCTATGTGTTTGTAGTCTAGTCCAAGAGAATTCCCAGGAAGGCCTCCTCCAATTGAGGTTGTTTCATCTTTCCTTAGCCCTCCACAGGAACACAAGCACATGGATAGGGTGGTTCTCAGTCAGTCCACTGAAGGGTGAGTTTAATGGGGAAAGAGGAGGAAGATGGGAAGAGCTAATCTACATCCTTTTGTACTATATACTCCTCAGCACAGGTTTTTATGTCAGCTCAGCACTGGGTACCTCTGTGAGTCAGCCACACTCAGCCTTTGCAACAAAATGCTGAACCTCTCCCAAAATTCAAGTCCTACCCTCCAACTTTATCAATATGCTGACTCCCTCAGGGATATCAAAGATGAGCTGATGGCTTTGATGGTACACCTGGGAGAATGCAGTTACATTGGGATTGGCTTGTATTCCCAAAGTTTTTTGGTGCAAGATTATGTCTGATCATTTCTGCTAGAAAAGATTTTCATCATGTGGGGGAATGGGAAAACTGGCCTGGGTTAGACCTTTCCTCTAACCCAAGATTAGGAGAGGATTGGGAGACCTTAGATGATAGAGGCAGAAGTAAGAACCACAGTATGTCCTGCAGCTGGAGAAAGAATTCTAAATGACTCTCTAGAATAGAGATGTCTCTCTTCACTTTCAGGTAACTATAGGAGAGAGGTCTCCAGAGCACTGAATATTCCACAGAAGAATCAGGTTCAAATATTTGCAGGTCCACATTATGATGGTACCAATTCATGTTAAAACGGCCTATTCTTTTTTTCCCCCCTTCCTTCCTCACTTTGTCCTAGCAGTGAGACCACTTCACTTCTTCCCTATTATCCGATTCCTGCCTGAAACAGGTCCTGGGTAGGGGATAACTTATTATGAAGAGGTGGTGGGATTCACTCATGAAGTTGTGTTTTTATTCCATTACAATTACGTTTGTTGAATGCAGTGGTTAAATATGTACCTCCACTCCAGTGGATCCAACCAGGAGGGCTTTCCTAGGAACTATTTCCCTCGGCTTCATTATGGACCCATGGCAGTGTCTGTTTTGTTCTCCTAGTAATATTACGAGCACTGGCCGAACTGGTTTGGCTCAGTGGATAGAGCGCCGGCCTGTGGACTGAAAGGTCCCGGGTTCGATTCCGGTCAAGGGCATGTACCTTGGTTGCGGGCACATTCCCAGTAGATGTGCAGGAGGCAGCTGATCCATGTTTCTCTCCCATTGATGTTTCTAGCTCTCTATCCCTCTCCCTTCCTCTCTGTGAAAAATCAATAAAATATAATTTAAAAATATTACAAACATCTGCAATTCTATTATATGCTTACAAACTCAAACATCTTTGGGATATGACGTCCCCATGGAAATTCACACACACGTTACAGAGATAAATAGGAAGACCGTAATATCCCGTATCAGTCTCCAGCAAAGCATTTTCTCGGGCCAGGCTCCAATACCAGCAAATTAGAAAGTCAACTGGGCAGGTGGTAAAGTTTGTGTCTTCAGAGCCTGCCTTTCCTGGACCTCGGTGAGGAGTTCTGCTACCCACTTTAACCCTGGACCCCAGGGATGAACTTCCTCTAGAGAGGAAGAGGAAACACCTAACGTTGGCTTGAATCTCCAGACACAGCCAGTGCACCCCTCCTGGCTTTTCCACTCCACCGGTTTAGCCCGAATCCAGTAGCATTTTCCAAAAGCTTGCATCATTGCGAGGCATCCTCACTGAGAGGCATCCTCGCTGAGACCCGCGCGTCACCTCGGAAGCCGACGGCGCGGTGACGTACGGGTGACGTAGCGGTGACGTCCCGGCGTCCCCGCGCGCGCGCGCGCGTCAGCCCCGAGCGATCCAGGCCGCTCCGCCCCCCCCCCCGCCCGACCAGTCGCCAAGGGACGCCGATGGGCTGGTCTCCTTGGCAACCACTGGCTCCACCCCCTTCGTCCCTTTAACCTTTGGGGTGCGAGGGCGGGCGCCGCGTCCCTCGCACTCTCCCCCCCCCTCCCCCGTTCCCCTCCCCTTTCCCCACCGCCCGGGCCCGCAGCCTTCCGGGCCGGAGGCGAAGATGGCGGCGGCGGCGGCGGCGGCGGGCGCGGCCTCGGCGGAGCTGGTGATCGGCTGGTGCATCTTCGGCCTCTTGCTTCTGGTAGGGGAGGCGCTGGGAGTGTTCCCCGCGCTTACATCTGTGGCAGGGAGGGGTGGAGGGAGGCGGGGGGGGGGGGGGGGGCGGGCCGGTCCTGCCGCGGGCCTCCGGGCGCCGGAGACACTCTTGGCCCCGCCGAGCCTGTCCCTGGGACTGTGGGGTCCTGGGGGGTTTGGGGGGCTCCTCGGAGCGGGGCTGGGGCTGGGGGACGGGACACTGATTCCCGGCCGCTCTCGCTGCCTGGTTCCTGAAGATACAGCCTCCTATTGCAGGTTTCCTTCCCCGAAGGTCTTGCCCTCACCCCTGACCCTGGGCCCTGGGCGGGTGGGGTTTGGGGGCGGAGGAGACGCTGGGGGGGGGAGGAAGGGTGGAGGAGGGGGGGGGTCTCTGGTACCGGGGGGACGGGAGCCCCGGGTGGTGGGGCAGCTGGGCCTGACGTTTGCAACTTCTGTGGCCCCGGTTCCCTCTCCCTTGGGGTCATGGAGCCGCCAACCTGCTCAGCCCATTGTGCGACTCTGTGTTGATGTTGACTTGAGTGTTCCTGCGTTCTGGCTTGGGGGTTCCTTTGGAGTCTGTCTGAAGGAAGAAACCTGTGTGGGGCAGGCTGTAACCCTCTCTGTTCTCAGAATCAGGGTGTGTCTGTTACCACCCATCTGAACTACCCTTCTTCCCCTTTCACATTCTTGGTCTTCCTTCAGCCCTGCTGTTGCTTCAGCCCCGAGGTATTTTAGCCACTTGGCATTAGGAAAACAAATAAAAACAAAAATCAAACCAAACAATTGTTATCTTCACTTCTGGGAATCAAGGAAGGCGTTTGATTGTACTTCTTAGATGCCACACGGAGTCCACCACCTATATGTAACTACGCTTTGCCAGTAAATGTTGCAACGCTACCAGAAACCCCCCTACCAAAAACAAAAGAAAAAAGTGAAAACTTAAAGGTTTCTCTTGCTACCTTTGCTTTGGCAGGAAATACTACTGCCTTTCCATGGCAACATGCCTTATGCTTGACTCCTCTTGGTGAAGGAAATGGAAACTTAAAGCTCGTCTGTGGTTTCCCTAGCCCATCCAGTCCTGTTCTTGGGGAGTTCACTGGGCTTTTCCTATTCAGTAGGTTTAGAAGAAAAACAAGCAAGTAACCAGTATCGAAGTCTAGTGGGACTATCTTGGCTGTTATCAGTGAATAAACATTTCACAGGTAGTAGTTTTGCTGTCAATTGTAGGAGGATGCTAACAAAAGAAATTGCGGCCTCTAAGAAAATCTGAAGATAAGTAGGAAAACAAAAATGCTTGAAACAGGTATTTTAAGTACTGAAAATCAAAGTATGACTTTACAGAATAGGACGTCAGGGACTAGAGAACAATACTGGAAGAAAGTATAATTGAGGTAGACTTTGGATAGGTAACTATGGGAAGGCATTTATGTTGATTTTACAGTAGAAACAAAGTAAAATGAGAAGGGAATTCTAAACTGGATGTTGAAGTCGAAAAAACTTAGTAATGAGGGCCATTGTTTAATTTTCTGCAACTCTCTCTAAGTCCTGGTTTATTACGTTAGAAGAGACCTGGATTCTCGTGTCTGCTTCTGCATTCAGTCTTTTGAGATAAGTTTTTTTTTCTGTTGTTGAAGTTTATGAAGAAAGTCCAGTTTTAGTGATACGTAGTTGGAAGCAAAGAAGTATTTTTTTATTTTTTAAATATATCTTATTGATTTTTTACCGAGAGCAAGAGAGAGGGATAGAGAGGTAGAAATATCGGTGAGAGAGAGTCATGGATCAGCTGCCTCTTGCACAGCCCCTACTGGGGATGTGCCCACAACCAAGGTACATGCCCTTGACTGGAATCAAACCCAGGACCTTTCAGTCCACAGGCCAATGCTCTATCCATTGAGCCAAACCGGTTTCGGCAGAGAAGTATTTTTTAGGTAATTGTGGACCTTGTTCTTTAATACCATATCAAAACTCAGTAGTAGAATTAAAGGTTAGTTGCAATAAGGAATCTGAAACCCTATCAATGAACTTTTAATTTTGTTTCATTAACGCCCATTGGGCCATGTTGTACTTTGAATGGGTCTTTTCATCATGCATGGTTTTATGACATGATGCATTTGTCATTTAGAAAACACTGGTTCACTGAGTTATACAGATCTCCAAAATATGGATATATGTGTATTTTATTACATAATATAAAAATTTCACATTCATTAATATTGTTACAGAGTTCCCGAACAATCAAACAATGCAGGAGGAGAGTTTGGAGAGACTTACTTTATTCATCGCGCTATGGGCTTAGAGAAAATGAATTCAAATTCTAAGCAAGGCTACAAGCAGAACTTCCCTTTTTATTAAAGAGCCAGCCCTGTGTGCACTTAGTGGTTATCTCGATGATGGCCTTGAAAACAATACAGTTCTAGCCAATTAAAAAATGCACCTGGCATGGCATTGAGATTATGAGCATATCTACCCTGTTTCCCCAAAAATAAGACAGTGTCTTATATTAATTTTTGCTCCCAAAGATGCGCTAGGTCTTATTTTCAGGGGATGTCTTATTTTTCCATGAAGAAGAATATGGTACACATTTATTGTTAAATGAAAATAAAGGAAATTTATTACCTGTATACGGTACGGTAGTACGGTAGTTGTCAACACAAACCAGACAAACTGTGAATCCTACAGTATCAAGAATTTACTCATTTATTCAGTGACAATCATGTCATCATCTTCTGGAACATCATCATAACAATCCAATTCCTGAATTTCCTGGTGAATTTCTTGTGACTCCATTTCTTTCAGAATCAGTGGACCAAATCTCTCATGTTTAGCCTAGGGGGGGCCTTATTTTCAGGGGGATGCCCTGTATTTCACTCAGAAGGAAACTTGTAAGTAGGTCTTATTTTCGGAGGATATCTTATTTTCGGGAAAACACGGTAGTCTTTGGCCTACAAGGTCATACAGCTAAGTTTATCTTCTTCATTATTGGAACAGGCTAAAGCAGGCTACAAAGCAAACATTTTTAGAATAATCTAAAAAACAGCAGAAAATTCCAAACAGTGGTTTTTTGTTTTTTTCTTTTTTTTTACAAAATAGGGGTTTTCCTTCTCAATATCAGCACTGATCTTGTCATAAGAAATCCCAGAAGTAAGTATTGTGAAACAGTAAAGCTCAGTTTTGGATACTAGTTTTTCAAAATCCTAATTTTCATTTGAAAGCTTGAATTTGATGATTGGCAACAAATATAGTCAGTTGCTTTTTTTTGGAAGTGAGAGGTCCCCTTTGTTCATTTTGACAAAATCTGCCAAATATCCAAGTCGGCACAACCATAGTCAGTTGAGCTTTCAAGTAAAAATGATGTTCCTTGCCGAGACCGATTTGGCTCAATGGATAGAGAGTCGGCTTGGGGACTGAAGAGTCCCGGGTTCGATTCCGGTCAAGGGCATGTACCTTGGTTGCGGGCATATCCCCAGTAGGGGGTGTGCAAGAGGCAGCTGATCGATGACTCTCTCTCATCGATGTTTCTAACTCTCTATCTCTCTCCCTTCCTCTCTGTACAAAATCAATAAAATATATATATATTTAAAAAAAAAAAAATGATGTTCCTTGCCAAAAGTGCCTAGTTTGGCTTCCAACCCCTCAGTATTCAGGTATCCACCTTTCCTGGATTCAGCCATCACTCTTGGTTGCAGTTTGGTGCCATTGTCTGTACTCATGCTTGCTTTTCAGCAGTTTTCCCCGCCATGAGTTATACAGTCTGCGTGCAAATATCAACATAGTGGAAAAGGCAAATGACATTTTAGTATTGTTAAAAGAATAATTTTGAAATTGCAGATCCTCAGAAAGGACTACCAGGGGTCTGGGGACTTAACACACTGATGCCAGTCATCTACTAAAGAATCAGAACACTAGGATTAATAACTTTTGTAATTGTGGGCAAGCAGAACGTAAGGAATTGTTAAATCAAGTTCCTCTAAGTTCATAATCTCTATTAAGCCCTTCTATCTAGTTTCCCCAAGAGCCTCAATAATTTGCCTTCCACTATCTTTCATATTTCCCATTACTGTATAAGACAGTCTCCGTTTCTTTAAAGCAAGTTCTCTCTTGTTACTCAAAAGTGAGGGCAGCACCTTGGAACTTGTTAGAAATGCACACGTAAGACCCCACTTCTATTATACTAAGTCAGAATCTGCATTTTAACATAACCCCAGGCAATATGTGTTCTTATTAGTTTAGCGAACATCTGCTCATTCCTACCTCTGTTGCTGTGATTCTCATCCATGACTGCTCATTAAAAACAACTTGGGAGTTTTAAAAAATCCTAAAGCCCAGATCAGTTAAATCAGATCTCTTGAGAGGGGTTTGGGACTGCTCTAAACCTTTCCTTATAATTGTTTGCAAATTGTATGTTAGTTTCTTTTAGATGCTATTTTACATGATATCTATATATATAAAAGGCTAATATGCTAAGTGTTCTCCCCACTGCCTGACTGGTTGTTATGATGCGCACTGACCATCAGGGGGCAGATGCTCAATGCAAGTATTGCCTTGACGCGCACAGAGAAGTGGTACTGTGGACCTGGCACGGACAAAGCAACACTTGACTTCCCCCAGGTGGGACACAGGCGCTCCCACCACCCTGGGGTGATGGCCCACCAAATTGCAGCCGATGCTGCCATGGCACAAAATGTGGCCCCAGCCCAGCCCAGCCCACAAACGGTGGCTGTGGGTGCTAGGTAATGTCGTCACATTTTTTGTTGACATTCTGAAGCCGAAATTGTCACCAGAATATGTCTGAAGAACACTTATCGACCTCGATAAGTGTTCTTCAGACATATTCTGTACTACAAGTACTACCAATACTGGTAGGAACTACCTTCATAGCAAAAATGAGGTAACTGAGGATCATTTATTGAATACAAGTTGTGATGGATGACTGTTACATGTCAATTTTGCCTATCCCTAAATTTCTCCAATGAAAAACTATCTGATGGAAAATTTACTTGATGTTGTAGCAAAGGCAAAGTTTGTCCAAATGATATGAATTTTCCGGAATACCCAGCATATTTTTAAAAAATTAATGATAAATGGGGATTCTGACAGTAAAAATTTCACAGAAAATATTTGTTGTTATATCAGTTTTTTTTTAAATTTATATATTATATTTATGTACATTTTACTAATTTCCTTTCTGGCACTTCTATTACAGAGAAAGGATGAAGAGCGATATTAAAATATTTCTTCTAATTAATTTTCTTTCAATATGCACAAATTTGTGCACTGGGACACTAGTCTCATATAATGAATAGAGCAAAAGTTTTCAAAATGTAATCTCTGGACCAGCACAGCCTCACCTGGAAAGTTGCTACCAATGCAGATTTTCTGGCCCCATTTCAGACCACATGAATCTGAAACTCTGGGAGTCGGGCTGAGCAGCTTGTGCTTTTTTTTTTTTTTTTTTTTTTTTTTTTCAATATATTTTATTCATTTTTTACAGAGAGGAAGGAAGAGGAATAGTGAGTTAGAATCATTGATGAGAAACATCGATCAGCTGCCTCTTGCATAGCCGCACCCGGGACGTTCCCGCAACTAAGGCACATGCCCTCTACCAGAATCAAACCTGGGACTCCCTCAGTCCGCAGGCCAATTCTCCATCCACTGAGCCAAACCAGTCAGGGCCAGCCTGTGCTTTAATAAGTATTCCAGGTGATTCCAATGTTACCTAAAGTTTGGAGAATCAGGAGACTGAATTCCTCTACTCTGTTAATCAGTAGAAAAACATTGCTAACTATTAAGAGTACCTGCTTGATTAGAGATGTCAGAACCTCTCTGAGTGTACTTTTTCACTGGAAAGTTCCTTGCAATGCACATGTATCTATTTTCATTGTGCACTTTTTTTTTTTTTTTTTAAATGCTCTCTAAAATTTGAGTTATAGTAAAATGTGTCAGTTGCATAGTGATTATTGGCAATTAGTCTTTGGCTGAATGGTACTCTTGAACTGTCATAATGGGATAGAAGTTAATTTCAATTGAAGTTATATTCTGTGATGCTCCAGTAGGTTAGAACATGTAGTGATAGCTCCTTTAGTGGAGAGCTCTCTAGGGAAAATGTATTCAAAGCTAGTTATAACTGTGGCATTGTGTGAAACCTTTAATTATTGTACTGTGTTCTGTGAGGATATAGGCAAACGAGCACTGTCATCATTAACTTTTACTTTGTATATATGTGTCTTTGCTCCTAAGTGAGGTTGTACTGCATCCATGAAATAAGCTTGGAAAATATCAGGCTTAAATTTTTTACACATCTAAAATAACCTTTACTTGATGTAAAGTTTCCCATTGGAAACAAACACATGTTAAAATCAGTTTTGAAGAATACATAGGACAATAACAAAACACTTTTTTGTTCTATTTCAGGCTATTTTGGCGTTCTGTTGGATATATGTTCGTAAATACCAAAGTCAGCGGGAAAGTGAAGTTGTCTCCACCATAACGGCAATTTTTTCTCTGGCAATTGCACTTATCACATCAGCACTTCTACCAGTGGATATATTTCTGGTTTCCTACATGAAAAATCAAAATGGCACATTTAAGGTAATTTTTATACTATATGATTCTATTCCTTTCAAATTCTTGGTAATTACGTGTTTAAGTTTAGCAGTCCAGTATATATTATTGTCTTTGGAATAAATGAGAATCGAAATGCAGCATAGGTGCTGAGAATGTGACTGCTTACATGGAAGACTAGAAATAGACTATTGAGTGACATAAGACTTAATTTGACAACCCTCCAAATTTGAAGAATGTCTTTTGTTAACCTGAAAATATATTAATTGTAGTAGGTTTTATTTTTGTGCCTCTCATAGCTTGAAGTTTATTTGACTTGATTTGCATTAATGCACTAAATAAATAATTTAGAAGGGCTTTTGTTAGTGGCAGATCAGAATCCTAATCTTTATTTCACATTGAGTATTTTTAGTCAGTGTGGTGTAGTGAAAAGACCACTAGGCTGGGAATTATAAGACCTGAGTTCTAATCTTGGGCTCTTAACTATCTGGCATGTATCTTTGGCCAAATCAGTTAACTTTTCAAAACTTCAATTTATTTTCCTTTTTTTCTGGGAGGGGGTGAGGATGGGGCAGGAGGTTGTTCCTATTTTTAAATGAAGGGTTTTAGAATGGAAGATTTCATAAGTTCCTTTTTTACTATGCAGATTACTTTCAGTTTCTTGTTAGTATAAACTTCTATGCGGCAGGAACTGGGTCTTATTTATTGTTGTATGTCCAGTGTCTAACACACATATTTGAATGAAATATTATTCCAGTTAACTCAATAATGCATGATTCCAGAATAAGTTTCTGAATTTGGCCAACTGGGCTTAAATAATTTGAAACTGTTTTTATGGTTAGATTTATTTATTTATTTTTAAATATATTTTTTATTAATTTTTTTACATAGAGGAAGAGATAGAAATAGAGAGTTAGAAACATCGATGAGAGAGAAACATAGATCAGCTGCCTCCTGCACACCCCCTACTGGGGATGTGCCTGCAACCAAGGTACATGCCCTCGACCGGAATCGAACCTGGGATCCTTCAGTTTGCAGGCTAACGCTATATCCACTGAGCCAAACCAGTTTCAACTAGATTTAGATATATTTTGATTTTTGTAAAAATTACAGTTACTTTCTGTAGGTATTCATTTAGCAGGTATTTAATTGAGCACTTAGTATGTGCCAAATACTGTATGAACTAGAATCTGTTGAATATTTACTATGTGTCTGTCCTAAATGGTTAACATATATTAATCCTGCCTGTAATCTCACAAACAACTGTATGAGGTAGCTAGTATTGACCATGTTTTTATGGGCAAGAAAATGAGGAGTGGACAGATGATGTAAGCTATCTACAGCTCCTAAGTGCTGTAGCTATGATTTGAAGCTCTGCAGACTGGTTCCAGAGTTCTCTGTTCACTAGGATCTTTAGCTGTATCTATAGCTTAGTATTATCCCTGATATAATTATTATTTGAAGATATTTTGAATTTTGAATTTAGAATATTTGATTTGTTTAGATTTTGTGAAATACGTTTTCATCTTGAATTTTCAAAAAAAAAAAAAAAGAATAGCTGAAAGTATATTACTAGTGTCTTTTATAGTTGGCCAGTAACTTTGGATAGTATTGCACAAAGTATATTAATCAAAGAAAATAAAAAAATTGATTGTAATGTCAACAAATATTCTTTATTTTATACTATTTTATACATTGTGTAAAATTAAAATTAGTAGTTAAGTTGTGGTATCAAAATATTTAATGTTTTTTATTTTTTTAGATATGTTTTTATTGATTTTAGAGAGAGAAGAAGGGAAAGAGAAACATCGATTGATTGTTTCCTGTACACATTCTCACTGGGGATAAAACCCACAACCTGGGCATGTGCCCTGACCTGGAATCCAAACAGCAACTTTTCTGTGCTCAAGATGAAGCCCAATCAACTGAGCCATACCAGACAGGGTCATTTAATGTTTTGATATCCAAAATATATCTTATTCTCTTCCTCAAGTGATTAATCTCATTATGGCCAATTAAGTATCAGTCCTGAACTCTCTCCTAATGCTTCAATCCTACTCTCAGATGGTGATAGTTGTAGCTTGAGAACTTTGTACTTTTCATTACATCTACATATATTCATTCACTTAATATTTATTAAGCTTGTACTATGTACCTGATAAATGTGAGTGCTGAAGATTAATGATTCAAACAAATGAGGCTGCTACTCTCATGGAGCTTACCTACTGTAAAACCAGACCAACAGTAAACAGCAAAACAAGCTAACTTCATAGTGATGAATTCTATGAGAAAATATAACAGATGGACATGGGTAATTCAGATAGGAAGATTGGAAGGCCAAATTGCTTAGGTAAGCCTGCTGAGGTTACCTGAGACCTTAATGAGAGAAGCTAGTTAAGAAAAGAGCCAGAGGGAGTGCCTTTAGCGGGGAGGACAGATCAGTAGATAAGAGGCTTTTTGCCAGGCTGAGTTTGGTCTTTTGGGTGAAGTATGGTGTTGGGGCTTGTGGTTGGTACTACCTGTTTCCCCGAAAATAAGATAGTGTCTTATGTTAATTTTTGTTCCCAAAGATGCGCTAGGTCTTATTTTCAGGGGATGTCTTATTTTTCCATGAAAAAGAATACGGTACACATTTATTGTTAAATGAAAATAAAGAAAATTTATTACCTGTATACTGTACGGTAGTACGGTAGTTGTCAACACAAACCAGACAAACTGAATCCTACAGTATCAAGAATTTACTCATTTATTCAATGACAATCATGTTATCATCTTCTGGAACATCATCATAACAATCCAATTCCTGAATTTCCTGGTGAATTTCTTGTGACTCCATTTCTTTCAGAATCAATGGACCAAATCTCTCATGTTTAGCCTAGGGGGGCCTTATTTTCGGGGGGATGCCTTATATTTCACTCAGAAGGAAACCTGTAAGTAGGTCTTATTTTTGGAGGATGTCTTATTTTCGGGAAAACAGGGTAGCTGAGATCCAGAGAAGGTGGGGACCAGATTACTTATCACTTTTAAGTCATGTTAATGGTTTAGGTTTTCTTCTAATTGCAGTGTGAATTTATTGAAGATAAAAGATAAGGTGAATTGGATTTGAGTGGTGTTAGTAGAGAAAATGATTAAAATTGATATATATTTTCGAGATAGAACTGCTTGGATTTGCTAATGACTTAGATTTGGAGGGTGTAGGAAAAACAAAATTGAATCACTAATACCTAGGTTTTTGTATACCTTAAAGAAATAGGGAAGCCTGAAGCAACAAATGGCATATGCATGCCATGGGCAGATGAATGTATAAAAAAGAGTTGTATTTAGTGTAAGTTAACTTCAAGTTCCTGTTATATTTACTCAAGTAAAAGTGTCAAGTAGAGAGTTGAAACTTCAGGGAGACTTTTGGGTTGGAATGAAGTATTTGGAAATCATGAGCATATGGATGTTATTTAGAGCTATGGACTGACTAGAAATTGGGGAGAGTGAGTAGTCAGAGAAGCATTGGACCATGCAGCCGTTGCCAACCTTTTGGATCTCAAGGACCACTGATTGGTGACCACTGGATTAGAGTGCTCATTTTGTAGAGGCCAGCTAAAGGGGAAAGGCTGTAACCTAAGAGTTAGGAAGAAAATCAGAGGAGGGAGGCTGTGACAATCAGAAGAATTTGTTTCAGGAAGAGATAATAAAAGGTTTTTCAAATGATGAAAAGTTAAATGAGAGAGGTAGAAAAGTGACCGTTGGCTTTGGTCAATGGTAACCAAAGAGCATGAAGAATAAGTTCAGTGAGGCATTGGGGTTTCAGGTTGGATGTGCTAAATGTGGACAGGGAGGTGAGAAGGTAGTGATAGAGAATGCTGACAGATTTTTGGTGAGTTTTGTCCTTTAGGAGAGTAGAGTCAGGCCCGGGGAGGTGTTTTTATTTGTGGTGGTTGAGAATGGATTGACCTCTTTGTTGTTTAATGGTAATTAGTAGGGTTTGGGTACTTAAGTATTATGTAGAGTTGGAGAACTTTTTGAAGCAGAGGTTATTATTGGTAGGTGCAATGTCTTTGAGAAGGCAAAGGAGTTTAGGGGGGTGGTATCTCACAGTGAAATGTTGGCTATGCTAGTCAATGGTATGGACACCTAGCAGAAGGAAGAATTAACTATTGAATACAGATTGAATTTAGCTGTTAGATTTGGCAGTAAGTTGAGTAAGTTCTTTTGGCTTCATATTATTTTAGAGACCTCTAAGTTAGTATTTTTCAACCTCTGACATTTTGTGCTTGATAATTCCTTGTTGTGCGAGACTCTTCTGTGTGTTATAGATGTTTAGCAGATCCTTGCCTCCACCCATTACATGCCAGTAGCATATTGATCTCCCTCAACCCCATATCTGCAGACATTGCCAAATGTCCCATAGGAACAAAATCACCTCTGAGTGAGATCACTGGTCTAAGGTGAGGTTATCAGTAAAATTAAGGAGATTTAAATGTCATTTTGGGTTGGACTGTTTCAAAATGTCATCTGAAGAAAGGGAAAGGGAATTTTATGTATGTGACCCATTACATCTTTTTTCCTATGGTATTTATTCCCTTTTCCTTTCTTTTGAAATGTTCTTTAATATTCTCTATTTAGTATTAGTTCTTGATTGTTTCACATTCCTTTGGGTCTTAAATGACTCTGAAGTTCCTTTGGTCTCCACTCTGGGAGAGGGTGATTTATAAAATGTATCAAGGGCATAGTAGTTCTCGAAATGTGGAAAAAGGAAGGTTTCATAAACTAAGTTCTTTGGACAGTACATCAGATACCTTGGATGCAAGACAGTGTATAAAAGCCAAATACACTAATAGTTCTTGAGTGATGTTGTATATTTTACACATAGTTTTAGCTTTAAAATAGTAACAGTTACACTTAGTTTCTTTTTGGCACAAGATTTGGTTAAACAAAAGAGCACTGCAGAGTAAAAAATACTAAATTTAGTGAATCTATGGTTTTAAATTACCTTCAATCTCTATACTTCCCCCCCTCCCCCCATAAGTTGTGGTCTTACTTAATTTTAAAGTTTAGCTTTAAATAGATTCTCAGTGTGTATGTTAATACCTCATGGGGGTGTCTTGGAAATTGGTAGGGAGTTTGTGTAAGGGTAGACGTAATTATCCTGTTTCAAAAAAACTTCAAGTTTCAGAAATCTTTTAAAACTTCTGTTTTGATGTATAAACAATCACTACAGAGACACAGCTGTTAAGAGCTGAAGCTTTGTTTATGTACATATTCATTTAGATACTTGAATCATGGGTGAAAAAAATTTCAATTACATTGCGTAGAATTCTCCCCAGTGCTTTTCCATTCCTATGTGGTGAGCACTACTTACACTTTCCATTTTTCTGTATATGTATGGGTGTTTCTTTCAGTACTTTTTTAGACAAAGACTATTAACACTGTTGATTGCAACTTGTTCTGCTTCTCGATATTCAAAAGTACTTCATGGATGTCCAGCTATGCCAGATTATTTAGGTTTAATTGTTTTTAAACTCTGTATGATATTCCATGTACATTCATAACTGTTATGAATGTACAGTATTACATTTTACCAGGCATGTAGATTGTCTTCAGTTTTGTTGTTAATTTTTTTTAATATATTTTATTGATTTTTTTTTTTTAAATATATTTTATTGACTTTATACAGAGAGGAAGGGAGAGAGATAGAGAGTTAGAAACATCGATGAGAGAGAGTCATCGATCAGCTGCCTCTTGCACACCCCCTACTGGGGATATGCCCGCAACCAAGGTACATGCCCTTGACCGGAATCGAACCCGGGACCCTTCAGTCCCCAAGCCGACGCTCTATCCATTGAGCCAAACCGGTCCCGGCTATTTTATTGATTTTTTTACAGAGAGGAAGAGAGAGGGATAGAGAGTTACAAACATCTATGAGAAAGAAACATCAATCAGCTGCCTCCTCCACACGCCCCACTGGGGTTGTACCTGCAACCAAGGTACATGCCCTTGACCAGAATCGAACCTGGTACCTTTCAGTCTGCAGGCCGACTCTCTATCCACTGAGCCAAACCAGTTTTAGCATGTTGTTATTGTTATTTTTAATATTTTAAACAGTGTTACTCTGAATATTGTTGGGTAAAGGTCTCATGATGAAAAGTCAATAAACATTACTTGGTGCAGGCAGGAATTTACGGGGATAATTATTAGTAAGCAAACAAATGCTTATATACTTGATATTCTGTAAAGAGGCAAGCTTTCTCAAAGTGCATACATCTCAGCAGAGGTGACTGCCTCTTCTTATATGGTAAGTAGAAGAGTGGCTTTGCAGGTAAATAGTATGGACTTGGGTTCCAAGAAGTGTGAGCTTATATTTAAGTTGTTCATGGGGCACTAGGACATTTCAGTTGCTAAACCCTAGAAACTTTGGGCCCCTTTGTCGCATCATTGAAGTTGGGTGCCGCTTCTCCTACTGTGTGGGAAGGGGAGGCCCCATTTGGGCTATCTTGTTGCTAAGCAACCCAGTAAGAGATCTTCATGTCATTCATTGGATAGTACTACTCATCTAAAACATATTTATGTATTTATAGCTATTCTGATTTATGTGAATTTAGGTTAAAGACTATCTTCCTTACTATTGCTGTGTGGGAGATGGCTTTTCCTCCACATTTGCCATTTTATTGGATAGTATTAATGTTTTAAATTTCCACTTGGATAAGTGAAAGGTTACTATAATAATAGATTTTTATGTTTTCTTAAAGTTTAGTAACTAGGTAAATTCTTCATTGTTGGTGTTATTAAAAAAAAATTACCCATCTCTTGCTTGTTTTTTTCAGATGACTTTTAGAGTCAGTATATCAAGCTCCCTTCAACCCTCTCCCCACTATTTGGTATTTTGATTGGCATTATATAGTTTTATGGATTAATTAGGAGGGATTTAATATTTATAATCTTTTCGTGTGGGAACATGTGACTTTCCATTTCTTTAGATCTTTTTAATTGGCCTCCACTCAAGGCTACAAAGTTTCAATTATAGAAAATAAATCCCAGATACATGCTTCCAGCTGTCCCTGACCTCCGCTCAAGGAGGTCCTAGAAAAAATAAGTAAAAGAAAAAAAGGAGTGGCTGGGAGCTTGGGTCGCCAGGGGTTGACCAGGCCAGGATGGGAAGGCAGTTGTGGGTGATCAGGCTGGTGGTGGGCAGGGCCGTTATGGGTAGGGAGACCAGCAGGGGTACCAGTTGGGGGTGAGGAGGCCATCAGTGGGGGTCAGTTGGAGGTGATCAGGACAGCGGGGGCGGGGAGGGGACAGTTTGGAGTGAGCAGGCCAGAAGGGGGGTAGTTGGGAGCGAGCAAGCTAGTGGAAAGGGAAGGTGGGGGCGAGCAGGCCAGCAAGGGGGGCAGTTGAGGGTGAGCAGGCTGGCATGGGGGGCAGTGGAGGTGATTAGGCTCGTGTTGAGGTCATTTGGGGGAAAGCAGGCTGGTGGCAGGGGGCAATTGGGGGTGAGCAGGCCAGCAGGCAAAGTGGTTGGGGCAATTAGGCAGGCAGGCAGGCAGGTGAGTGGCTGGATCCGGTAGTCCTGGATTTTGAGAGGGATGTCCGACTGCTGGTTTAGGCCTGATCCCTGTAAACCAGCAGTAGGACATCCTTTGAGGTGTCTCAGATCGGAGAGCGTGCAGGCCAGGTTGAGGAACAGCACCCTACCCCCCCCCCCCTTGCACAGATTTCATGCACCAGGCCATAAATATATATATATATATATATATTTTTTTTTTCCTCCCTCCCTCTCTCCCTCGCTCCCTCCCTCCCTCCCTCTCCCTCTTTCTCTCTCTCTCTCTCTCTCTCTCTCTCTCTCTCTCTCTCTCTCTCACTGAGTGGCCAGATTATTATGTGTTCAGAGATCATAATAATCTCACCACTCAGTGTATCCTATCTAATAAAAGAGTAATATGCAAATTAACGATCACTCTGCTACACCACAAGCCACGTCCACTGGCCAATCAGGAGCGAGTATGCAAATTAACACAAACAGGATGACTGTGGCCACAGAGTGAGCAGGAGGCTTGGGTTTCCCCAGTAGTGGAGGAAGCCAAGCTTTCCTCACACCCTGGCTGGCCTAGGCCTCCAGTCAAGGCTACAAAGTTTCAATTGTAGAAAGTAAATGAATCCCAGATACCAGGCCTTCCATTTGGGTCACCAGGGGACATGGCTGGCCTGCAAACCACCACAGGCCCCTCGCCCAGGCCGCCCCATGCCCCAAGGGAACCCCCACCCTGATCCGGTACACTCTTCAGGGCCAACCAGCCAGCCCCCACCCGTGCACCAGGCCTCTATCCCATCTAATAAAAGAGTAATATGCAAATTGACCACTCAGACAAACAAGATGGCTGCCCCCATGTGGTCAAAGATGTCTGCCCCAATGTGAACATAAGATGGCCACCACAAGATGTCCAGCAGGGAAGGGCAGTTGAGAGGGACCAAGCCTCCAAGGGAGGGCAGTTGTGGGCGATCAGGCCAGCAAAGAAGGGCAGTTGGGAGGGACTAGGCTTTCAAGGGAGGGTAGTTGGGGGTGGCCAGGCTGGCAGAGGAGGGAAGTTAGGTGTGACCGGGCCTACAGGGAAGGGCAGTTAGGGGTGACCATCCCTGCAGGGTAGGGCAAACAGGCTGGCAGGGGAGCAGTTAGGCATCAATCAGGCTGGCAGGGGAGTGGTTAAGGGGTGATCAGGCTGGCAGGCAGAAGCTGTTAGGGGCAATCAGGCAGGCAGGCAGGCAGGCAAGCAGTTGGGAGCCAGCAGTCCTGGAATGTGAGAAGGATGTCTGTCTGCCCGTTTAGATTCGATCCCGGCCTGGTGGGATCAGAACCAAACAGGCAGTCGGACATCCCTTAAGGGGGCCCAGATTGGAGAAGGTGCAGGCTGGGCCGAGGGACACACACCCTGTGCACAAATATCGTGCAGCTGGCCTCGTGTGTGTGTGTGTGTGTGTGTGTGTGTGTGTGTGTGTGTGTATGTAAAATCTATATATTCATATAGTTTTCTAAAGTACAAATCATATTTGTCACTATATAAAAATTCATCACTATTTTTCTATGCTCTTAGGACAAAGTCCAAAATATTTAGCATGATCATGATTCACTAGTCCTTTAAACCTGTTCTCCTTCATTCTACTTGCTTTCTCTTTCTTTTCCAAAAGCTTTGGTGAATCTTTGTTTAGCTTTTTGCAGTTTTTGTGTTTTTCCCCCCAAATTCTCCATATATGTTCCTTTCTTATCTGCTCCCTACTGCCCCTCCCCACCCCCGAGAATGACCTCTCTTCCTTTAGGTCTCAGTTTAGTTATTTTGGGACACCATCCCTGAACTTCAGTCTTCATTAGGTGCCTCCTGTTTCTTTATGTTTCCCCAGAACTGTTATCTCCTGTCTCAGCATTTACTTGTCTATCACTTCTTCAAGGTACTAACCATACTTGTTTGAGTCGATACATTTATGAGTGATATTCTGTCATGGTAAAACTTAATTATGTCTTTTAAAAAATGTATGTTAAATTAATATTTCTGTTTCCTTTTTGTCCTAGGATTGGGCTAATGCTAATGTCAGCAGACAGATTGAGGACACTGTATTATACGGTTACTATAGTAAGTATCTTTCAGTTTTGTTTCAGTTTTATATCTGGGCTACTAACCAAAGTACAGAATAAACCTACATATAAACTTTTATTTTGACATCACATTTGAGATTACTGTTTGACAGCTGGAATAAGTAATGTAGCATTCATTCTTATAATCCTGAAACTTTTACCTGCTTTGCTATAGGTTCACTTGCAGCATTTCTTCGTGAAGGTTCAGTCAAATTACTTTAAATCTCAGGTCTTTTCCTTTGTTACCACTAACAGTGTCACACTTGCACTCTTGATTTAAAAGTTCTCAGTTTCCTAGCAATTTAAAAAAATATTGACAGTAGTAGAGTGTTCTCTCTGGGGAATTTGTAGCATCAACTTTACTGAGCCAGCTTAATCCAGGGGATTATGATTATTGATCCTTTTCTCCTTCACTTCCTTCCTCTTCCTTCTCTAATTTTGGATTATAAAAGCTTTATAATAGCTACCTAAATGTTTGCAAATTTTTTTCTTTTAATAAACATTAGACTCAACTGGAGCTTTTATAAAAATGTATAAGTGCTGAGTTAGCACAAATCAAGATGTTGAATAAGATTTCAATAGGATGCTAAATTGGATACTGAAAAACATCTGTAGAAGTTTCTGTAAAAGATTTTATTGGATTTTAACCTGTTAATTGCCACACGTCCAAAACAAACCATCCTCTCACCCCATGATATTTTGAATTTAATTTAAAAAATCAATTTGCAATTCTATCTAGTAAAGAGAGAATATGCTAATTAACCTTCACACTGCCGCAAAGATGGCGGCACCCACAGCCAATGAGGGAATCTGTCTAATTGACTGTCACGCCTTCAGAGATGGCGGTGCCCAATCCCCTCAGTACCGCTGGGGCGCCTGCCTCCAGAGTTGCCCAGTTCCCTCAGCTCCCTAGCTGCCCAGGGCCACCTGAGGCTCAGGTAACCAGGGCTGGTTGTAGATTGTGCTGCCAGCAGTGGCGGCAGCAGTAGTGTGATGAGGGTCGCCTTCCCCTGATCGCCGGGTCGCCTCCTGCCCCTGAGGGCTCCTGGACTGTGAGAGGGGACAGGTCAGGCTTGAGGGCCCCTCCCCCCTCCCAGTGCATGAATTTTTATGTGTATTGGGTCTCTAGTGAATATTATAAAAATATATTACTCACAATTTGGTTGTTCTTGAATATTTTCAGTTGAAAATTCTCAGGAAAAATTATTTTTTAATGCATCTATAGACACTTATGACATATAAAATGTTAATTTAGCTGCTTTGGCTATAACCTTTACCTTTTCCTTTGATTTAAAATCTATAGGCCAATGAAATTCTATTCTTTTGATGTGGAGTTTAGAAATGTTTTTATTGTATTTTAATATAGAATTTATTTTTCTGATGAATACATTAAATATATATGATAAAATTTAAATTTGACCTGTTAAAATTTGAAAAGGTGCTATGGTAAATGGAATGCTGCCTTTTTAATACAAATTTATTGGAAGGACATAAATTGCATCTTCAAAAAACAAATTTGGGGGAAGGGACCTGTCTCCTATGTGAAAATAAAGTGTATTTATGCTGTAGAGCATGTGACAAAATAAGCCAATTTTTATCTCAGTGTATTCAGGTTCATAAAGCATATCTTATTGAACCTAGAGGCTTAGTCAAGGTTACAAAGATTTCTAATAAATACTTCTAAACTGGAATGTTCATTCATGCAGTCTTATTGGTTTCATGGAGAGAATTAAGCCTATAGGAAATTATTTTAGTGAGTGTTTTTCTCAGTCCTCCTAAAGGTAGTGTGCAATCTTAAATGCATGGGAGCTAAGTTAAACTTTATTAAAGTAGATGACTTAGGGATTTGGGTTTAATCCTCTGTAGAACTTGGGATAACTACCTTGAGATACAATAGATGAGACACTGATCTAAGGAAAGAAATTTGAATAGAAGATTTTTTGAAGACCATAAAGTCAAAGCAGGAAGATTTAATTGGACAATATTTTGAGATGTTCAGGATCAGCTTATTAGTGAGTGGCATAGTCCAAAATGGATATTATTGCCTAAGCTGGAGCTGCTTGTCATTAAATGAGTTAGTTTTAATCAGTAGTGCTGAAGACGTTACATGTGGGAATGCTTAGCAGCACTGAACCCCCAAGGCAATTTCAAAAGTCATCTAGGGACCTTTTAAACAATACTAGTGCTAGGTTACATCCAGAGAGATTCTGATTTACTCTTGCTTTTCATTAATATCCCCGCTGTTCTTATAAAAATATGTATATATTGGAAAGATGTCAGGCTCCAGATGGGTGGATTCAAGTTTTCTGAAAATTCTAATTTTCTCTTGGAAATTCAGGTTTAGTATTGGCAAAAATATTCTCACTTACTTTCTTTGAAGTGACAGGTTCACTTTACTCATCTTTTAGAAAGTTGGCCCAATATTCAAGTCTGGATAATTGTTGCTTGTCTATCTGTTCTTTTTTCAAGTAAAAATGGTGTTTGAAAAAAAAAAAAAAGACTAATAATTCACAAGTGAAACTGCATAAGTGCTTCTCACAAGTATGCTTTCTGTGGAGTTCTCTTCACCCATAAAGTTGAAGAGTTCTTTACTCGCCCTAATACGTTTGTCTCAGTGGATAGAGCGTCAGCCTATGGACTGAAGGGTCCCAGGTTTGATTCTTGTCAAGGGCATGTACCTTGGTTGCAGGCACACCCTCAGAATGTGCAGGAGGCAGCTGATCAATGTTTCTCATTGATGTTTCTAACTCTCTATCCTTCTCTCTTCCTCTCTTTAAAAAATTAATAAAATATATTTTTAAAAAAGAGTTGTGTACTCAAAAGTGGACATCTAATAGAATTATTACTACTTCAGAGGGACTTTTCCTGAATAAAAGTGATCCTGCTGGTGAATACTTCATGGTGAAGAATACTATAGCTGCTAGTGGAAAGGCAAACAATATCTTAATGTTATTATGAAAATAATTTTCATGTTGTGAATATCCTAAAAGGATCTCTGCTAATCTGGAAACTACATTTTTTGAGAACCTTTTTTTTTTTTTTTTAATATGTTTTTATTGATTTCAGAGAAAGGAAGGGAGGAAAGAGAGAGAGAAACATCAGTGATGAGATAATCATCAAATGGCTGCCTCTTGCACACCCCACACTGGGAATGGAGCCCACAACCCAGGCATGTGCCCTGACCTGGAATTGAACCATGACCTCCTGGTTCATGGGTCAATGCTCAACCAGTGAGCCAACTAGACCTGCAGGTTCATAGGTCAGTACTTAACCACTGAGCCACATGGTCAGCACTTAATCACTGAGCCACAGGCCAGGCTCTGAGTTCTATTTTTGTTTCAAAATTATTCTAACCTTTAGATTCTTACCTTTTATTGCAACTTATATATATTTACTTTATTCTAAAGTTTTCTCTAACCATTTTTCATTTTAATTCTTTCACCATATTTTAATTGCTTTTAAGTGAATTTTTCTTTTAACTAATATTTTTTCCTAACTTATTTTGATTTTGCTTGAATGTACAGGTTGTAGAAATGAGGAGGACCCAAACCATAAGGGAATTATTCAAGGCTATTATGTTCAGTTCTTCTGTAGTTGTCCTATCACTTCTTCCTAGGCACTCTTTCTCCTCTTGATACCAATTCTAGGGCTATTAATTCTTGTGTAGATAACATATAGAATCACATAGTATGTATTGTTTTCCGCTTGGCCTCTTTAGTGCTCAGCATTATATCTGAAATTCCTCTTGTGTTATTGCAGATGAAAGTTATTTCTCATTGCTGTATAATATCTCATTATTACTAAAACATACCATGGTTTGTTTATCTATTTTAATACTGATGATCAATTGTGTTGTTCACTTTTCTGCATTGTTTTCCATTGTATGAATACTCTTATTCAAACAATCCCACATGGTTATATGTTTCAGTTCTTACTTTTTTCTATTAAATAATTATTCAGTGAAAATAGGAGTGTGTGGCAAAGTGTATGCATATTTATTTCTATGCCAGGCCTTTTGAGCATCCAGGTTTCTCCTCATTCCCTGTTGGCTGATCGATCAAAAATTGTACCTGAAATCTTTACTATGTATTTTGAATTTAAGGTTTACAACCGTCTAGTGTTTAATTTGAAGAGTTAAATTAAACACTAGAAGGTTTCATTTCTCCACCTGTGGAATGGCAACGTAGTACTACTTTATAGTGTATTAAGAGTGTGACCATTTTTGTCTCATTGAATGAACAAGCAGTATTAGTTGATTATTAAGGCAAGTAGAGTTGCTGCTACACAGTAAAGAAAAGGAGGAGTGTACCTTGAAACCAGGTGATGATTCTTTCTCATCATTACCATGTTTAGAGGCAAAAAAGTTGAGATCTATGACACTCCTCACAGGCAGGGCCACCAAGGGCTCAGGTTAGCTCAGGAGGAGTGTTTGGGTTCCCCCATTTCTTGTACCAAATTCTATTTCAGGAATTATTCCTGACTATTAACAGATTGGAAATACATGGCTTAAATAGTATAGTGGGTTTTTAGTTTCACTTAAAAATAAGTCTGGATATGGGCTATCCAGGGCTAGTATGGCAGCATCATGGCATCATGAGGGTCTAAGCTCATTTCTCCTCAGCTTTCTATCCTTAGTACACGCATTCCATCTTAAAGGTCACCACAGAATCCAAAAAGGTGTATGGAGTTTAAGTTGTCATGTATCCATTTCAGGAAGGATGCAGGAAGAAGAGGGAACGACCAAAAGGGGAATGCCAACTGAAAGGAAAGTGGGTATTGGATATGCTTTTTAGCAATCTTGATTCCGTGTTTCTTCAGCTGAGTAAATAGGATAATTTTAGAAGGCTTTTAGAGTTCCCAAAATATCTTTATACTTTGACCCTCTAAAACAAAAAGCTTTGTAATAATTAATTATCTTATCACAATATTGACTAAGTTATTCTTTGTCTCTGTTTTCATTGGTAGTTGAGAGGAATAAAGAGTGTGTAAAAAGTCAAAAGCCTAATTTATCCAAGTTAATTTTCATGTGAGTTATAATTTAATGATAAACAGTTCTTAAAAGGTAGGTTGTTTGTTTTATGTACATTTAAAGTCACAAGAATTAGCATGCATTCTCCGCCACAGTTTTTGTCCATGGTCTTTGTCCCTGGCTCTCTGTTCACTTGTTTAGGCTAGTTCTTGAAAAGTTGTTTTGAAAAATAACTTGTTTTATGAGTTTGATTTGTGGGTGTTCTTTTTAAAGGAATTTTCATAAGAGTTTATTTAAGTCAACTGACCACATATTCTGGCAGCCAGAGCTCAAAGCTCCCATGAGTTTAAATTTTGCCAATGTCTAGTGGACATGAGGTTTTAAATTTTTTTCTTAATGTGTTTTCTTTGATGTTAGTAGAACTATTAAACCAAATAGTCTGTTTATCTTTTACTTGCTAGTAGCAATCTTTTAACAAAAACATTTGCAAGTAAGCATACTTTATAAAGATTTAAGATATGAGAGTGTCATCATTGTTGGAGTTAAGAATAATTTTCCTTTGAAAATATCTATTAGTTTGAAGTAGAACTTGAAAAAAAAAGCACTTTCTATGTTTCATGATGGTAGCAGCACCTTTTTCAATTACAGATATATAAGCCCAACTAGACGTTAGAACTGATCTGAAAAATGCAAAAACGTTAACTTAATACTGTCTTTACAGTATAATATTTACCAATTAAAGGATTAAAGACAGAAGTCTTTAAAAGGACACTTTGGAAGAATAGTCAGATAACCAGAAGATAGCTTAGAATGTGTTGTCAGGGAAACAGATTTAGAGTAGTTGTTCCACACCTATTTTGAGTCACAGACTGCTGAGGGGATAATATAGTTTCTTAGAATAGTGTGTGTTCCCATGTTCTTCAGTGTTGATTTCTAGAAATCATCTTTTTCTGACTATTTGCTCATAATACACTAGTGCCTTGGTGCATGGATTTGTGCACATTGAAAGGAAATTAATTAAAGGGTGGCCAGTGGCCAACCTCCTAAGGCCCTTCCCTGGCTGGCTGCTGCACCTAGGGTGGCACCATGGCTCAAGGGGTGTCTGAGGAATGAGCTGGGTCACTCTATCAGGTGGGGTCCCTCGACCTGGCCTGCAGGGATTGGGCCAAAACCAACTCTCCAACATCCCCCGAAGGGTCCCAGATTGCGAGAGAGCAGTTCTCAGGTGACAGACCCTGGAATTGAGCTCTCTCCTCTCTGGTTCCAGGATGTGTTACCTGATTTGAGAACCACCACTGCCAAGTCACCGCAGCTCAGCAGCTCCTGTGTTAAGCATTTGTCCCCTGTGGTCAGTGTGTGTCATACCTGCCAGCTGGTTGGACAGTCAGATGGTTGCTTAGCCTTTTATAGATAGATAGATAGATAGATAGATAGATAGATAGATAGATAGATAGTAGGATAGAATTTTATACCTTATTACACTTATTGATAGTAACTTATGCAATTATAAGATCATTTATCCCACAAGTTCAGGAATACTAGGAATATTTATGAAATAGCCATTAGGCACTCTGGTTGGCTAAAGGGCAAGGCCACCAGGTACTAGAGACAAATGACATACTGACCTTGAATCCTAACCTTAATTGCATCTTTTTTATCAAACCTTTTGGCATGTGGCAATCATCTCACAAACTCTGCTATGCTAATTCAGGATTTTTCCTATTCTATACAAATTTCTTATTTTAATCATGATAGCGGTATGGTATTTAGAGTGACTTATAGCCCTGTTTCTTTTATGTTTAATTTTTTTAAACTTTTAGAATACTTATTTTGTTTATGCTTTTGAATATATATTTATTTCTATTGGCTCTTAGATTTGTAATAGGAATGTTAATACTAACTACTTCCTGATCTGTAGTAGAAATACCAGTATTCGTTACACTTAATAATTTACTATCTTTATTAGTTTTTCATAACATTGAAGACTACATACATTTCACTAAATATTTGTAGTGCCAAAATTCATTATGCTGGCAGTCATTTTCTGATAAATATAAATTAGTTCTTACCTTTCTGTTGGTTATTTAGGGCTCTCTTTGAACTGAGTATTTTAACTATGTTGCATTTAGTGGACTGTTTCCAAAGTGGCCTCCAGATAAATGAGGTGGTGCTGGCAAGTATTAAGATCATGTTTAAAAATTCTATAACTCATATAATGATTCCTTCAGAATAAGTACTTGAGAATTTTGTATACATTTCTAACAAATGCTTTCTTTTACAAAGGAGTCTAATGATTATCGTCCTGTATTTGCTTTATATAATTATACTAGAGGCCAGGTGCACAAAATTCTTGCACTCTGGTGGATGGGGGCAGCCTTGCCTGTGCCTTCTCGCAGTGCAGGAGCCCTGCCATCGATTGCCTCAAAGAGGTAGGCCCCACCCACCTATCCAGGGCTCTTTGATGGATTGCCGCAAAGACATAGGCCAGAGCCAGGGGTCCCACTTCTAAGCCGCCAGACCCCACCTCCTCTGCACACGTGGATCCGCAGGACCCCCAGGCCTGGCCAGACCCTGCCTCCTCCACTGGGTGTGCGCCTCCGTGCTGCGCATGCAGCGTCAAGTCCCACGTGCACCCTCTGGGCATGCAGACTCCCGGTGATAGATTATGGGATTATGACATCATGAGGATATCACGGCATGAGGGCATGATGACCACCTATTATAGACTAGAGGCCTGGTGCACAAAATTTGTGTATGAGGGTGTGTCCCTCAATCTTGCCTGCACCCTCTTCAATCTGGGACTCCTTGGGGAGATGCCTGACTGCTGGTTTAGCCTGATCCTGCTGCAGTTGGACACCTCTCTCCCAATCCAGGACCGCTGGCTCCTAACTGCTTGCCTGCCTGCCTGCCTGATTGCCCCTAACCACTTCTGCCTGCCAACCTTATTTCCCCCTAACTACTCCCCTGCCAGACTGATTGATGCCTAACTGCTCCCCAGTTGGCCTGATTGCCCCCAGCTGCCCTCTCCTGCCAACCTGCTCGTCCACAATTGCCCTCCCCTGTCAAAACCCACCTCTTCCACTGGGCCCCACCTTCACTGTGCTCACAGCCATCTCTTGAGGCCATCTTGTGACGGCGTTAGGGTGTGATGCATTAGGGCATGACGACCAGCTAGGCTATTATTATACATGTATAGATTGTTGTTATTATTTTCCATTAACTTATGTATATGCAGATAAATGTAAATCTACATAAGATTTGAAAAGCAAATTTCTTAGGTTTGTTAAGTCTCAAAAAGTTGTTTGGTTTTCATTATTAAACTAGTAGCCCTGTGCACAAATCCATGTGCCAGTAGATTGCTGCTGCCCTCCTGTAGCTCCCCTGCCCCCCTCATAGCTTGCTACCCTGCCTCATAGCTTGCTGCCTCATAGCTTGCCCCTCTTCATATTTTGCTGCCCTGCCCCCTCCTATAGCCCCTCGCTCTTCCTTATAGCTTGCTGCCCTGCCCCTTCCTGTAGCTCTCAGCCACCTGCTTGTAGTTTGCTGCCCTACTCTCCTGTAGATTCATGATCAGGTCCTTACATAGTTGGTCGTTACACTTCAGGGAGTAATGGATAATTAGCATATTCCTCTCATAATATAGGATATATTCTATGTTTTGCTGTTCAAATTTTAAGTTGCATATGAATTAAAATAAATAATTTGATTTGCTACTGTTTGAAAGTATCTCAAAATTAACATTACTTTAAAACTGATAAATAGTAATATTAGTTAACTTTGAATCTAATTTTACTGTCCTGTTGTACTTCTTTTCTATATCTTGATTTGTGTAAGATCAATTTTGTAACACTGCATATTTAAAATTTAAATTTGGGAAATTATTTGTATCAAAATGACATGATTATAGCTGTTTCTTTAACTTGAGTGACTGGCAACTGTAACAGTTGTGTCAGCTGTACTTAATTTTAAGTTGGAAGGAATACAAAAGTTGAAGTTCATTTAAATGAGATAGGTGGTTCACAGGAAATTCTTAGTACTGTGTTGTTGAGTACGTAATAAGAGTAAGATGTTAGCTGCCATAAGCGTTGTTGGCAGAATTATTGTGATTTTATTGTTAAAAATTGCTCCATAGTTTACTTGAATTATGTTTTATCTAATAGTGTTATTGATTTCTTGGGTCAGGAGTCAGAAAAGACTGATTTGGATATTACACATATACATAGAGTTATTCTATATATAAATAATGTTTTTAAGTTCATATATTTTAGTAGAACTCAGTTTATTTCTTTTCACAGCCTTATATTCTGTTATATTATTCTGTGTGTTCCTCTGGATCCCTTTTGTCTACTTCTACTATGAGGAAAAGGATGATGATGATACTAGTAAATGCACAGTAAGTATCATTGTAGGGGGGCTGAATGATTATTTTCTTCTTTTTCAAAAAATGACATGACTGAATTTATTCTACAGCATTGTTGTCTAATAGAAATACATTGTGAGCCACATGTGAAGTGTGATATTTTCTAGTATCATAGCTAGCCACATTAAATTAAGTACAAAGGAACAGTTGAGATTATTTTAATGATACTGTATATTTAAGTCATATGTTCTAAGTATCATTTCAGATAGAGTGAAAACATATTAATGAGATACTACTTTTTCACATTATTTTTTTTTTCTTCAGGTTTTTAATTTTTTCTGTTACCTTTTATTCCCTCTATGTGCTCTCTTTCCCTCACATTCTCTCACCCTCTTTTTTACATTATTTTAAATTTAGAGTACATTTTATACTTAGAACAAAATTCTAGTTTGAATGAGCCATATTTTAAGTGCTTGATAGCTGCATGTGAGTTGTGACTATTCTAGAGCAGACATTAACAAACTTTTCTGTAAAAGGCCAGGTAGTAAGTATTTCAGGCTTTGAGGGCCATAAAAACTGTCTGAACTACCAACTCTGCTGTTGTAGAGTGAAAGTAGTCGGAGATGGTACTTAAAGAGCATGATGTAGACCAGTAAAACTAGAGCCTTGGTGCATGAAATTCATGCACGGGGCTGGGGGAGGGGGGAACAGGTGCCCTCCATCCGGTCTGCAGCATCTCGCAATTCAGGACCTTTCAGGGGATATCTGACTGCCGGTTTAGGCTCCATCCCACCCTGTGGATTGGTCTAAACTGGCAGTTGGACATCCCTCTCGAAATCTGGGACCGCTGGCTCCTAACTGCCTGCCAGCCTGATTGCCCCTAACTGCTTGTCTGCCTCCCCAATTTCCCCGAACCACCTGCCTGCCTGCCTAATTACCCTTTACCATCTCTGCCTTCCTGATCACCCCTAACCTGATCGTCCCTGGGGGGCGGGACCAGCAGCCATGGTCGTTCTGATCTCTGGTCATTCTGGTCGTTCCACCATTTCAGTTGCTGGGCTTTTATTACATAGGGTAGGAGATGGGCTACATGTGGCACACAAGATGTAGTTTGCTGACCCCTGTTCCAGGGCACAAAGGAACACTTGCAGACTGTTCTTACTAATCCAGGATATCACTGCTATAAAACCCTGATAGATATATCAAAACTGCAAACCAGTATCACTTAAGTATTGGTATAAACATCTTAACTAAATATTAGCAAATTGAATGCAAAGGTATCTTAAAAATACATTAATAAAGTATAACTGAGTTGGACCCATCTCTAGTTTATATGGGTGATTTTAAATCAGCACATTTATTAATCTGTAATTACTTAATAGGTCAAAGAAGAAATTGTATGTGGAAAGGTATTTGCCAGAAATGAACATTTTATTTCTGATTTAAGGGGGGAAAAGTAGCATAAAAAGAATAAATTTGTTTTATACTGTGTTTATGTTTTGTATTTAAGTGTAAAAACAAATATATTATTGACTCAAAAGCCAGCATTATGCTTAATCATAGTTATTAAAATCTAAAGCATTTGCATTAAGATCAGGAAGTAAGTACATCAACAATATTTTATATGATTCCCAGAGTGGTAATCAGTGTAATTTGTTAGAAGTAGTAAACAAGATGTTTAACTATTTATAAAGAAGGTCAAAATTATTATTTGCAGATACTATATAACTCTGTATTTGAAAACCCACTGTATGTAAGGTAAAGTGGCTGGATACAAATTTATTGTTAAAAATTAATGCGCTTTAAGCTTTCTAATTCACTTTTCTAAAGTACATCTTCTCCAGCCTTTTGCTCGGTCTTAAGATCTTCCTTTTTATGTTTTTTCCCTCAAGACTATCTTAATTCCTTTGAGAACAAGAATTTAGCATATGAAGCATGAATTTAACTTTTAAAAGGTCATTTTTAGAAACTTCAGTAGGCTGAGAGACAAATAGTTTTTTCTCACTGATTTAACTTTTTCTTTAAGATGAACTTTTCTTCCATATTTGGAATTAGATTCAGCTTTGTGTTTTCTTTATATTTGGATGACATCATGGGCACCAAGTAAAACAGACTTTAAAAATCTGAGTTCCTGGTTTCAGGTGCTTGTTTAATCACTTACCACCTATATGACTTTTGACAAATTATTTAACCTTTCTGGGCCTCAGCTTATTTATCTCTAAAGTAGGAATGAGAATATCTATCTTAGGGTTGTTTTGAGAATGAAATGAGTTTAAGTGTTTAGAACAGTTCTGGTATGATATGTTTTTTGTTTATATAAGTTTTTATATTTTATACTAATTTACATGCTTTATGTGTAATGTATACATATATGTATACATACATGCATACATGTTAAATATTTATTATAATTGCTACTACAATTTATTTTGGTGAATAGGGATAGGGCCATTGCAGATTCTTATTGTTCCCTGTTTGGGGGGAATATTTTATTAAATATTTTAATAATTTTACTAAAGATGCCCATTGGAGAATTATTTATGCTTTAAGTGTACTGCATTTCACAAGCTTTTATTTATTTAATATTTTTACTGATTTCAGAGAGGAAGGGAAAGAGAGAGTAAAGATAGAAACATCAGTGATGAGAGAGAATCATTGATCTGCTCCCTCTACATGCCCCCTATTGGGGGGTCAAGCCCACAACCCAGGCATGTGCTTTGACTGGAAATCAAACAGTGACCTCCTAGTTCATAGGTCAGTACTCAACCACTGAGCCACACCAGCTGGGACATGCTTTTAAAAGACTTTTAAAAGCTAATGTAGTTTGCAAAGATGCTTAAGATGTGTCATATACATTGGTTTTCCTTAAGTTTTAAGACTTTTTTTTTTAACAAGGAAAAGTTTGCACAGTTGACTATAAATGCATATTTCATTTAAAAATACTGTTTTATTATAGTAAGACTATTATATTTTAAAGTCTTATATTTTAAAGTCTTATATTATATTTTAAAGTCTTATATTACATCTTACTAAATGGTATACTTTTTCTTCCTTGACATCTAGCAAATTAAAACGGCACTTAAGTATACATTAGGATTTGCTGTGATTTGTGCACTTCTTCTTTTAATTGGGTAAGTATTAATTACTTACGCTTGAGAATGAAAATAGCAACATCCTATATAATAAAAGGCTAAATGAACATCGACTGAACAGTGGTACAACTGGTCGCTATGATGCTCACTGACTACCAGGGGCCCGACACTCAATGCAGGAGCTGCCCCCACAGCAGGAACGCCATTCAGCCAGAAGCCAGGCTCATGGCTGGCAAGCACAGTGGTGGTGATGGAAGCCTCTCCTCCCTCCACGGCAGCACTAAGAATGTCCGCCTAAAGGCTAAGGCCTGGGAGCAAGTCTAAGCCTTCAGTCGGACATCTCCCGAGGGCTCCTGGACTGTGAGAGGGTGCAGGCCAGGCTGAGGGATGCCCCCCTCTCTTCCCTAAGTGCACAAATTTCATGAACTTGCCCTCTAGTTTTAATAATAACAAAAGGAAAAACAAAATGTAAAAATAATGAACACCTTTCATATCACTACCAAACAGTAACCACAATTATCCTGTTTTTTTTTTTAATGTTGTTTTATCTAGACATTTTATATGTGCTCATATACATGCACATATAAATGTGCCCACAACCAAGGTACATGTCCTTGACCGGAATCGAACCTGGGACCTTTCAGTCCGCAGGCCAACAACGCTCTATCTACTGAGCCAAATCGGTTTCGGCTTTTTGTAATTTTTGATAATCTACTTGCTGAAATACTGTAGACATCTCTTCAGAATAATAATGTAGATCAATTAATTTTGTCCATGTTGCATTTCCTTAAGATATAGTTTATCTGATCTTCTAGTGTTAACTACTTGGACATCTGTGATATTGGCAGTTTTCTCATTCTTATAAACAACACTTCAATAAAAATTCTTGTCTGTGCATATTTCTGGATTTTTTTTTTTTTTAAACTTCAAGGAATGAGGATAATTTTTCTATTGATTTTAGAGAGTTGAAGAGAGGGGGAGAGAAAGCAAGGAAGGAGAGAGAAACAGTGGTGTGACAGAGACACATCAATTGGTTGCCTCCCATAGGCACCCTGACCCAGGGGTGGGGATTAGACCTACAACTCAGTTATGTGCCTTTGACAGAGAATCGAACCCACCATTTCTGCTGTGCACGCTGATGCTCTAACCACTGAGATGCTGGCCATTCGACATATCAGTCGTTAAGTTGTTGAATTAATCTTTGTCAATGACTTCTTCCTTAATTTTACACCAGTATTAATAAAATTTTACACATTTTTTATACATTTAATTTTCCTCTTTGGAAAACATTTGTCCTTTTTAATGGAAGACATTTATTCTTGTTAAAATAAGTCTTGGTCCTTTTTTATGTTAGGAAATATTATGAGGTACTAATAAATTTTTTAAAGTTTCTATTTAAAATTTTGTGTCAAATTTCAATAAATGAAATTTTATGTATTGAATACAACTTGTGATGAGAATAAAACTTGTCACTAATTTTTTATAGTTCTAGGAGTTCTTAGAAGGAAGATGTCTTATAGGCATATTTCTAGTTCCCTTTGCCTGCCTTAATGTTTCATGAAAAGTAGTACTTTTTGAAAGGACATTTTTAGTGGTTTTGCTGCTTATTTTAGCTATTGAGTATATTTTAAAAAGTTGTGTTGGCCTTTCAAAGAAAGCTAAATCTAATTTTGTGAATTTGCTTTGTTAATGTGGAGGTCCCTTATCTGTAAACTGAAATTATTTATAACAGACATTAGCAAACTTTTCTTAAAAGGTAGGTAGTATTTTAGATTAGAAGTCCATGTGGTCTCCATGGCTACTTGTGGGCAAGCATCTCAGCCTGGGACTTGACTCTTTTGGGTGCAGGGAATTGGAAAAACAAGCAGGTAACACCAGGCAAATGAGACATGCTTTATTATGAAAAAAAGCAGCCCAAACTGGCTGATCAGTGGCAACTTATGTACAAGCTCAAACAAAAGAGGCTTCTTGCCAAATAGTGATATCAATATTTGGGTTATAGAAAGGTACACCTGCGCAGTGCATACAGTGAAACTGCTGTGTCCTTGCTTTTCACATGTGTTTGGCAAATTGGCCTTGAACATCTGGCATACTCTGAACAGCACCCCCTTACTACTCAACTACTCATCCCTCCTCTTTAAGCAGTAAAGTAGTTATGGGCAATATGTAAACATAAGGACGTGACTGAGTGCCAATAAAACTTGATTTGCAAACAGGCAGTCAGTAGTTTGCCACCTCCTGACTTAGAGCCTGACTGAGAACCATCACTAAAAACACAAATCTTTAAGAGACCAGAATATCTGTCTAAAACAAAAGGAATTTTATTTTAAAGATTATTCTAAAATTTACTGGTCTTTTTTATGGAAAGTCACCTTTAGTCCTCATTTACAGAGTTTACAGTTTTAACAATTCTAAATAATAAGTTTTAACTGATCCTCTAGATGGTATTTATTTATTTAGAAGCAGTATGTTAAAGTGAACCAAATGGCTCCTTGCAAAAACATTAATAACAAGAAGGGACAGTTTCATTCACTTGTTTACAAATATTTATTGTGTGCCTGTTATGTTTCAGACACTGTACAAGGTGCTGGAGAAACAGCAGTTAACAGAAAAGACAACTCCTCCTTCGCGGAGCATACATTTAGGAGGGGGCAGGGGGATGAGAGAAAGAAAATAAAAAGTAGGTTGTGTTGTGTTTGTAAAATTTTAGTGAGAGTATAGTATTTGAGAAGAAATTTGAAGGAAGAGAGGAGCCATGAATTATATGGGAGGAGGGGAGAACATTGCAGTCAGAGAACAGAGTAAATGACAAGCCCTCAGGCAGGAATGTGTCTGGCATGTTCACAACAAGGTGAGGAAACTAGTGTGGCTGGAATGGAGTGAACAGAGGCTGGAGTAGCTGGAGATATCTGTCAGAGGTAACTACAGCTGCCAAATTTAGGGCATTGTAGGCTGTTGTAAAGACTTGAGAATTTGTTCTGAGGGAGTTGGGAAGCTATTGGAGGAGTTTTTGTCATTGAGTAACATGATCTGATATTTAAAAGGATCTCTGGATAGTGTTTTGAGATTTGATTTTATGGGGTTAAGGGTAAAAGCATGAGATCTGTTAAGAAGTTATTGCAATAATCTAGACAAAACATGATGGAAGCAGTAGTGATTTATTTCTGCCTATTATTTGGAGAGAAAGCCAGCAGGATTTTCTGATAGGTCTGAGAGGAAAAGGAATTGGGGATGTACCTGGAGTTAGCCAAACTAAAAAGTATGAGGGAACACATCTCTGACTTTTTATACTTAAACAACTACAATTTTGAGCAGTTTATGAAACCATCCTCAGTTTATGAATTCTCTAGCAGGAATCATATAGCTCACTGAAGGCAATTATATTTATGGTTACAATTTATTACAGGTAAAGAATCCTATCTAATAATAGAGTGATATGCAAATTAACTGTCACTTCATGACAAAATGGCAGCACCCAGTCCTCTCAGCACCACCGGAGTCCCCCATTCAACCTGGGGTGTCCGGATGGAAGGTACCTGAACCTCCACTCCGTGATTGCTATCCAGCGGCAGCAGCCTGGGCTGGGGTCTCAGCCTGGCAGCCTGGGCTGGCGTCTCAGCCAGGCTGCAGTGCGCACCCCCCTCGGCCAAGGGCAGCAGCCTGTGGTCTCAACCACTGAGTCACACCAGCCAGGCAGATATGGAGGAATCTTAAATGTTTCTTCTTTAAAAAAATGTATTTTTATTGATTTTTTACAAAGAGGAAGGGGAAGGGTAGAGAGCTAGAAACATCTATGAGAGAGAAACATTGATCAGGTGCCTTCTGCACACTCCTCACTGGGTATGTGCCCCCAGCCAAGGTACATGCCCTTGACCAGAATTGAACTTGGGACCCTTGAATCTGCAGGCTGATACTCCATTCACTGAGCCAAGCCAGTTAGGGCTGTCTAATATGTTAAAGAAAAAACTAATAAAGAGGGAATATGTGGGGGAGAAGAATATTTGGAGGTTACTGGGTTGTCAGGGGATGGCTGTTGGGGACAATTGGGCTGGCAAGAGAGTGGTTAGGAGCTGATCAGGCAGGCAGGCGATCAGTTAGGAGCCAGTAGTCTTAAATTGGGCCTAAATGGGCAGTCGAACATCCCCTGAGGGTACCAGATTGGAGAGGGTGCAGGTGGGTCTGAGGGATACCTCTCCCCAGTGCACGAATTTTGTGCACCAGGCCTCTAGTCTCTATATAAATGCCTAAGCAACCAGCCAACTGGCCCACCAGCTGACCGTCTGGTAGCTGTGATGCACACTGACCGTTAGGGGGCATATGCTCAATGCAGGAGTGGAAACACTGATGGAAGCACTGATGAATCTCAGAGGGAAGGGGGGAAGTGGATCTTATATGAATACTAGGGGCGTGGTGCACTGATTTGGCCTGGCCTGAGGAGATCAAGCCAAAACCAGTTCTCCGTCATCCCTTGAGGGGTCCTGGATTACGAGAGGGTGCAGGCCAAGCCAAAGGACCTCATAGGTGCACAGATCCGTGCACTGGGCCTCTATTACAATTAAAAGAAGAAATAGGACAGAGTTTGAGAGGCTTCTAAATGTGATGCTTTTGTTGTCCTCAGGACATATTACCTTCTGGCATCTACCTATGATAAGATGTAGTGTTGCCAACTAGGAAAGCTCACATGAGTCTTGGTGCTCAGAATTATTTTTAGATACAATTATGAAAACATCTGATTTATTTACTTTCATTATGTGTATTGGTAGAATCTAGTAAGATAAAGAAATATACTAAAAAGAAAGTAAAGATCAGCCCTAGCCTGTGTAGCTCAGTTGGTTGGAGTCTTTCTGTGCACTGATATTTCTCTCTCTCCCCCTCTGTCTTCCTCTCTCTTTAAAATCAATTAAACATATCCTCTGATGAGGATTTAAAAAAAAAAAGATGCAAAATGGTTTCTACTTTGAACATCTTCCTTTCTTAGGCCCATAAATATTGACTGTTGCCTTGCAAGAAAATACAGAATTATGATCAGTTTTCTAGTTAATATTTGCTTCATTATTTGTTCCTTTGTTCATTTCCCCTACACATTAACTTTTTGTTCCAATAATCATAGTACTATCTTAAAAGACATCATCCCTCATCCTACGAGGAAATATTTACTGTTTATTCTGGTATATTTCTTTTCTATTGTTTCCTATGCATATATTGAAATCATTGCATACATTTATATCCTGTTTTCCTGATTTAACACAGAGGTTCTTAACCTTTTTAATGCTATGGACCTTTTTGACCATCTTTAATTTATGACTCCTCCTCAAAATATTTTTGAATGTGGAAAATAAAGTAAATAGAGTTACAAAGGAAACTACCCTGAATGCAGTGATAAAACTATTAAAACAAAATTGTGATATAGTAAACACATAGGTAAGAAACTTTTCACATCCTGTGTACATGGTGCCGATTTGATTTGCTAGTTCTTTTTTGGGGGAAAGTTGATCTCTGTTTAAAAAAAAATTGAGTTTCAGTCTATTACTTTTTATTTGATCTTTTGAATTTAACACTATTAAACAGCTATTTTCTCCTTTGTAGTGCTTTTGTTCCATTGAATGTCCCCAATAACAAAAATTCTACAGAGTGGGAAAAAGTGAAGTTCTTGTTTGAAGAACTTGGAAGTAGTCGTAAGTATTCTTTTCCTTAAAAAACACACAACTTTAATATTTCATTTTTCATGACCGTTGAGACTTTTTTGAGAAGCCTGTTTTTGCATTATTAAGAATTTTAAACTTGCCGTTAGAAGTATGCTAGACAAATTAGGGAGTTTGTGTTGTTAACACTTATTTTAATTATGCAGCTATTATGTATCTTGTCTCTTGACTTCATAAAATTACTTTGTTAAAAAGAAAATATGATCTTCGAAGTATTTTAGCAATGAAGGTATAATTTTTATGTGATCTGCAATTAAAGAAATTTGCTAAATATTGTTTTTTTTTAATTTTTAACTAATGAAAAAACCCTATATTGCTATTTGATTCTGACTAAGTAGTCTTTTATAAATTGCAGAATATAATGTGAAGAAATTTCCTGTAGTAAAATAATATTACCAGTTTACCTCATCAAAACATTTTAGAAATGCTTTTCTAGAAGCTTTTTTTAATTTATTCAACATGACCTAGGTTTTTAGAGGAAAACAAAATAGGTGCAGGGGGTTAGATTAAGAAAGTTGTTTATTCATTGAAAAATACAGTTGGCATTAGAAATTGATATAAAATAAGAATGTTTACCTATTAATCAGAATTGTGTGTGCTTTTGCACATAGTAACTTATTTTCAAAGAAAGATAGAATACTTATTTTGTAATCATGCTGAGAATTTTCATTACTATTTTATTTTTTAAAAAATTGTTATCCTCATGTGAGGATATGTTTATCAATTTGAGAGAGAGTGGGAGGGGGAGAGCGAGAGAAAGATCAATTGCTTGCTTGTCATACTCCAGCTGGGGACTGAACTTTCAACCCAGGTATGTGCCCTGACTAGGAATCGAACACACAATCTTTTTGGTGTACAGAGTGATGTTCCAACCAACTGACCCACCCAGCAAGGGCTGCTTTTGTATCTTTTTTAATAGGTACTGTACATCCTTTAAATTACGTCCTGGAATCTTTGCTGTACAACTTCTTAATTTTCTCCCTTTCCACTTAAGATTTCATCTTCTAAATTGTGGTCCATTAATATCATGCTGACACCAGCAAGAATAAGGATAGCAGGCCTAGCAACTACTAATACTTAATTGTCAGGATTTATGCACCTGATCCTATTGCTAAGAAGAAAATTGCTGCTTTTCTTATAATTAACTCTTTCAGGTCTCTTGAATAACTACTTTTATGCCCTCTTAAATAACTACTCTTTTTCATTAAATATTTTTCTATAAGTTATACTAGTTTTTGAGTATTAGTATAACTTGAATCACTGATTATATAGATAGCAAAATGATAATTTCTGTAATTTCATTCTCTTTAGTCTTAACATTCATTTTTAAAATCTCAAATCTTAACACCATACCTAGAATACATTTTGCTTACCACTATTAGTAATATTAACTTTTTTGATTTTCTAAATATGTTAGCATAATACTCCATTTTAACAATTCTTAAAATGCATATTTTTTTCACACTTTTATATCCTTGATTTGGGAATATATTTTAAAATTGTTATCCACCAAATGCCAGGTCTTTCCTAATTGTATGAACACTCTGTTGATGCTCCTAGTAAGATCAAGAAAATAACAGCATCAGTGTCTTTGATTTGATAAATTGTAGTATTTATAGTTTAAAAAATTAAGGATTAAAAATTTCCCTTGCATAGTTTGTGAATTTGTTAATTGCTCTCTTCAAGTGTTATATAAAAACTTAGATGCAGGTTTTAAGAAGGTATTATTCTAATTTTATTATTTATGAAAAGGTTAATATTGATTCATTAATTTAATCAAAATTATAGTTAGTTCCACAGGGCCTGCATTTAAACTAGATCAGTATTTTAAAAATTAGCATTGCTCCCGTTTAAGAATATTCAATTTGCATAATATTTTGTTGCATAATCTGTTATATCCTCACTCATTGACTTTTGTTTAAATAATTTCCAAAATCTAACTTGTTAACATACCATAGTTTTTCTATTTTGTATTATATTTTTCTATTTTCTGTTTGTTTGCTTCCTCCCCCCACCCCCCCTTCCAGTTGGGCAAATTAGCTCTTTTCAAGTTAAAAAGTGAAATAAACTCTTTAAAATTTTATTTTTAGGCTATATATTAAAAGTTATTGGAAAATTAAGAATAAAGTAATTAGGAATATCAAGATTGAGGGGAGAAGGATGAGTCAAGGTCAGTGGTTTTCCTGTGTAGGTCTACTGTGGAGAAAGGCCAGAAAAATTTTTGCTAACTTTTGTGTATCTAATATTTTTCTGATTTTGTGTTAGGCTCCAAAGTTAGTGTTCTTCCTCTTTAATCTTAAGCAGTGAAGGAAAGAAAATCTTAGTCTGAAAGATCTTTTACTAATCAATTTGTGAATAGACCTTTAAAAACATTTTCTGCACTTATGAGTTTAGTACTTTGAGGATGAGGGAATACATATTGGGTTTATTATTTCAGAATGTGTAACAAACCCACTTTTATATTTTTATATTGGCTTGTTGAATATAAACATTTAAATAATATACTTTTTTAACAGTGTTTTTCTTTCCTTGTAGATGGTTTAGCTGCTTTGTCATTTTCCATTAGTTCTCTGACCTTGATTGGAATGTTGGCAGCTATAACTTACACAGTAAGTATTATGGTGATAACTGAGTTAAAATCAGAGAATTACTTTATGAAGCAATTATTTTTATCTTAGGGTGGGGCAAAAAGTAGGTTTATAGTTGTGAGTAAGCAAACAGTTTATTTTTGTTTTGTTATTTATCAATTATTATATTTTCTTTTTTTAAAAATATATTTTATTGATTTTGTACAGAGAGGAAGGGAGAGAGATAGAAAGCTAGAAACATCGATGAGAGAGAGTCATCGATCAGCTGCCTCTTGCACACCCCCTAGTGGGGATATGCCCGCAACCAAGGTACATGCCCTTGACCGGAATCGAACCCGGGTCCCTTCAGTCCCCAAGCCGACGCTCTATCCATTGAGCCAAACCGGTCTTGGCCAATTATTATATTTTCTATATGAACAACTACATACCTACTTTTGCCCCAGCCTGTATTGAGTTCAATTCTTGTTTATTTTCCTTAATATTTTAGTGCTTCTTTCCTCATTTTTTTTTGAGTTTACTTAAGAGGAGGGTTAATTTTACATTTCTTAGCTACAATCATTTTATCTATGTTTGTGAAATTTAATATTCAGAAACAGACATTATAAGTTGTGAACCTTGAAGGTTATATATACCGTGACATAATAAATTTAGTGATTTATAAGCGTATTAGAATTCTGAACCATAGTTCAGCATCTATTACTAATTCCGTAGATTTATCCTACTTGTGGGTATAGGACTTTTAAAATCAGATATTTTATATAACTTGATATTTTCCTAGTATATAGAATTTAATCTTATACTCTCAGAGATTTTGATTTTTTTCAGTCTTCCTAGAAATGGTAAGGTAAGAATTATAATAGCCCCACAAACTTGCATATAGCCGCTCTTTGAGGGTTTTTGTTTTTTTTTTCTCTCTCAAATTATAAGGGAAGAGCCAGTAATAAATGCTCCTTTACCTATTTTCCAAAAGGAAATTGTGCAGGAAGCTTTAACTATCTGAACCTTTTCAGGTTAATGAAGTTTATGTTTACAACATTCTTGATTATTACAAAGATGGAAAATACTGGTTATAAAGGAAACCTTTTTGATATTTTTTAAATATATCTTCCTTTAAATATAAAAGAAATGGGCTGCTAGTGTAATAGAATTTAGGTTTTTACATAATCATTTAAGTTTTATAATGTATAATGAAGTCTAAAATACATGCATCTTAATGTGTTTCTGGTGCTTATTTGGGTACTCAGTTTTTTTTTTTTTTAATACATTTTATTGATTTTTCACAGAGAGGAAGGGAGAGGGGGAGAGAGTTAGAAACGTCGATGAGAGAGAAGCATTGACCAGCTGCCTCTTGCACATTCCCTACTGAAGATGTGCCCGCAACCAATGTATATGCCCTTGACCGGAATCGAATCTGGGACCTTTCAGTTCGCAGACCGACGCTCTACCACTAAGCCAAACCGGTTTCGGCTTGGGTACTCAGTTTTATTATTCATTGTGAATTTTGTTTTTTTCATGTATTATTATGCAAGGAATTTGCCATCTGATATATCAGCTGGTAATTATCCTCCCATGTCACAGAATATATGTATGGCATATGAGTTATTTGTCTTTTAAGAAGCAATAAATAGTTAATAACAAATTAGGAGTTAGGCCTGGATTCTAATTGCCTTTCTGTGACAGATTTGTTATGCTGATGTTGGGTATGTCTTTTAACTTTTTTGGTTAGTGTTTTCCTCATTGAATGGGGATAGAAAGTGCCCCTTAGGATTTTTGAAGATCAGACGATACTGTTTGTAAAAGTGCTTTGAAAACTATAAGGCAAATGAATATATAGCAGTCGATAAAAGATTAGTCATGGGTAGGGGGTGGAAAAGAGGAAACCAATATCTAAAGTCAACATCAAGAACTATGAAGGGTCTGAGGTTTTATCCTGCTTGTAGCCTGCTACAGTTTTGCTGGCCAAAGATGCAGAGACAAAGAACTTCATATTACTTATAACAGCAGCAGTAGTCATAGAATAAGCATTTTCTCGTTGCCCCAAGTTCTAAATCCCATGGGGCAACTTGAACAGCTCCAGATGAGACTCACATAGAAGAGAGGAACTGTGAGCTTGGGAAGCTGAATTTTTTCTAATGGACAGTAAAATGCCTGCCCTTCGCTCCAGAGGAAGATATAATCTTTGCCTTTCAAGGCTATTTGTTGTACAAACATCTTTGAAAAGATAGTACAGGAAAAAAAAAAAGGCGATTAGTGCCTGGCTTACACAATGTGCTGAAATGAGCTAACCGTGGAGAATAGTTTCCCTGTGATCAAGTGGATCTTAGGAAGGAAAGTAAGGCAGTGTAAGGGATAGGCAGTAATGGAGGCTGGTTCGGCTGTTAAGGTCTAGAGTGGCTTCTCTAACATTTGAACAGAGAGCTGAGTAAAGAAAGAGCCAGCTATGAGGGAAGAGTAAGGGCAAATCCCTGTCTGCTGTATTCAGATAATAGCAAGAAGACAGAGCCAATGTGTTGGACTCAGTTCACAAGGGGAAGAATGACCAAAGTTTAGATGGGAAATAGCCAGAGGCCATGTTACGTAGACTTATATGCCATGGATAGAATTTGAAATTAATTTGTTTGAGATTAGAAACCATTGGGAAAGCAGTAGACTCTTAACAGTTTAACGGCACTACTCTGATGGCTCTAGGATGATAAGTGGGATTGGGAAAAATATGAAATTATTAAAAATATTTTATAGGAATCTTCTTTTTAAAAAAATATATATTTTATTGATTTTTCACAGAGAGGAAGGGAGAGGGATAGAGAGCTAGAAACATCAATGAGAGAGAAACATCGACCAACTGCCTCCTGCACACCCCCTACTGGGGATGTGCCCGCAACCAATGTACATGCCCTTGACCAGAATCGAGCCTGGGACCTTTCAGTCCGCAGGCCGATGTTCTATCCACTGAGCCAAACTGGTTTCGGCTATAGGAATCTACTTGTAGGAATATTATTGTAAAGAATTTTTTTTCATTTATTATTTTTACTTAATTTTGCTTTTATTTATTTATTTATTTATTTATTTATTTATTTAATTTTCTTTATTTAGCTATTATATATGTGTCCTTATCCCTCCTTTGCCCTCACCTCCCTTGTGTCTGTGCCCATTGGTTAGGCTTATATGCAAGTTTACAAGTCTTTTGATCTCTCCCCCTTACCTCTACCCTCAAGCCCTATCTTCCTTCTGAGGTTTGATGGACTGATCGATGCTTGTCTGTTTCTGTATCTGTTTTTGTTCATCAGTTTATGTTGTTCATTATATTCCACAAATGAGTGAGATCATGTGATACTTACCTTTCTCTGACTGGCTTATTTCGTTTTTCAAATTAATACCATATTTTATATTCAAACAGAAACTGAGAACATTATTATTTAAGCAGTAAGTTAAGCCTAATAATTATATTGACTTAGTTGAGATATCCTTAGACGAGCTTTACTTTTCTAGAATGCGAAGGTCTGGGCTGAAGAATATTGACCAGGTCGGCAGAGGAGGGAAGTTGGGGGCAAGCAGGCTGGCAGGGAGCAGTTAGATATCAATCAGTCTGGTATGGGAGTGGTTAGGGGGTGATCAGGCTGGCAAGCAGAAGTGGTTAGGGCCAATCAGGAAGGCAGGCAGGCGAGCAGTTGGGAACCAGCAGTCATGGATTGTGAGAGGAATGTCCGACTGCCTGGGATTGTGCCTAAACGGGCAGCTGGACATCCCTCGAGGGGTCCCAGATTGGAGAGGGTGCAGGCTGGGCTGAGGGATACGATCTCCCCCCCCCCCCCCAACGAATTTTGTGTACCTGGCCTCTAGTAATTAAATAATTTACCAAATCTTCCAATCTGTTGGCTACTCAGTAGTCACTAGTACCTCGAATTGTTGAATATTTACTTTTCTTATGGCTCAGAGTATAGTTCTTACCACTCTTCTCTTGCAGATATAGTAAATCAGCTGCTAACAGCAATTGTGTTATGGTCAGTGAAACTGTATGTTAGGAAAAGATAAGTCATAGAGGCATTCACAGTTGGATGGTGGATACGTGGGTATATGTGGCTAGATAGATAAACATTATTTAAATAATACTACAGGATAAGCTCAAAACTCAGTGGAAGAATGTTTTGTTGCCAAATCACAGTCTGGCCAACTAGCTAGTTTATAAAGAGAGGAAGAAGGGTAGGCTAGAGGAGACTTTTTAAAGGGGCAGCATGGTGTACATAGTTGAGCACTAATCATGAGTGTCTTTATGTAATCAAACATCTGAACCCTAGCTTTTCCATTTGTAAAAATGGGCCAATCATATACAAACTTTATTAAAAACTAGTTGAAAATCAACTGTTTATAGATAAATGGTTTAATGATAGATAGGTGGTTAATAGTACTAGTTACCAGTTGTCTCCTAACATTATATAGACGCTTGAGAATTGAGCTTTTTCTGGTGGAACGTGGAAGAGGGTACAAATTCATGGGAAGTAGAGAGGTTTCATTTTCATTAAGGTACCCAAAGAGGGAAGTTAATACTTAGTATATTTTAACCCTAAGTACAAAGCATTAATTATTAAAGGTATAATCATGTCTGTTATGTTTTTTAAAAATAAATATATTTTATTGATTTTTTACAGAGAGGAAGGGAGAGGGATAGAGAGTTAGAAACATTGATGAGAAACATCCATCAGCTGCTTCCTGCACACCCCTACTGGGGATGTGCCCACAACCAAGGTACATGCCCTTGACTGGAATAGAACCTGGGACCCTTCAGTCCACAGGCCGATGCTCTATCCACTGAGCCAAACCAGTTAAGGCTCATGTCTATTATAGAATCTGTAACTGTTAGTATTGAAGTTTGAGATGTTTTTGTAATGTACATGTTGGTCAAATGTGAATTTCTTAGATATACATTATTGTTTAGTTTATAAACTAGTTGATTATTTAAATTTTACCAAGATTATACCCACTATACCATGTCCTTAGGAATAGCCAAATAATTGGCCACTCAATTTTAGAAGAATAATGTCAAGCATATTAATTAGTCTTCCTATTTTTTCAGCTTAAAAAAGAGAGTGAACTCATGGACATATGGACATATACAACAATATGGTGATTGTGGGGGGTAGGATGACTGGAGATGGAAGAGGTCATAGAGGGGATAAATGGTGATGGAAAAATAAAATAAAAAAAAGAAAAATCTCTGGGCACAGATATTTATGTAGATACTTTTAAAAAAATATATTTTATTGATTTTACAGAGAGAGGAATTGAGAGGGACAGAGTGTTAGAAACGTCGATGAAAAAGAAACATCGACCAGCTGCCTCTTGCACACCCCACATTGGGGATGTGCCTGCAACCAAGGTACATGCCCTTGACCGGAATCAAACCTGGGACCTTTCAGTCCGCAGGCCGACGCTCTATCCACTAAGCCAAACCGGTCCTGGCTATGTAGATACTTTTATTTTCAGTGCCATCAAGTGAGGAAATGTTGAATAATGATATTTTTATAAAAAAGTAATATGTGGACACTGAATTGCCTAGAAAAGCAGTGACTACTAAACATTATATACATTTATCAGTTGAAAACTGAACATGTGCTCTAGGATATTTATGAATTTTATTTGTATTTGTATCTCTATATGTTCATCTAATACATTTTATATGAAATGTGAAGTGATTAATTGAAGATTCAAAAATAGAAATAAGTAGAGCAGTGGTTCTCAATAATATTTGAAGACAGTCCCTTTTAAAAGTCAAATTTCTCAGCCTTCCATGTGATATAGATGCACCTGCATTTTATGTTCCACTATAAAAAAGTTCCTGCCCTAACCAGTTTTGCTCAGGGAATAGAGCGTCAACCTGTGGACGTATAATACAAGTTTGATTCCTGTCAAGGACATACCGGTATACCTTGGAGGTTGATTGATGTTTCTCTCTCATCCATGTTTCTAACTCTCTATCCCTCTCCTGTCCTCTCTGTAAAAAAAAAAAAAAATGAAACATATATATATATATATTTTTAAATAGGCCCCTGTATAGTTAGCTCAGTGATTGAGCATCAACCTATGAACAAAAGGTCTTGGTTCCAATTTCCAGTCAGGGTGCATGTCCTGGTTGATGACTCCATCAACAGTAGGGGGAGTGCAGGAGGCAGCTGATAAATGATTCTTTCTCATCATTTAAGTTTCTATCTCTCCCTTCCTCTCTGAAATCAATAAAAATATATATATATTTTTAAAAAGGGTCCCTGCCCATGCTTTTACTATATATGAGAAGTTTTCTAGACTTTTGTAAATAATTTAAAATCATATCACTTTTCTGCATACAGAACAAGAAATATAAGTGAAATAAACTGGAAATGTATTCCTAAAACTTGACGACATTTGTAATAAGAATCTCTTGAATCACTTTTTTGAATTGTTTATTCATGTCCATGATTTATTATACAAGATTGTCTTTTATGCTATCAAGAGAATTGATGATACAGCTTTTCTTAAGAGCTCCACTCTTGTCACTGGGATTTTCTCCAAAGCTGCTAGCATACTAGGAACTGTTGTATAAATTTAAGCTTTTTCATTGTTTTGCAATTGTTTTGCCTTTTGCCATGTGAAATGCTATCTTTCTGCATTTACCTAACTAGCAAAATGGCTTCTACTTTGAGTATCTTCCTTTCTTAGGCTAACATTCTTGACTGTTGTTTTGCAAGAAAATATAGAATTATCATCATTGCTCTAGTTAATATTTGCTTCATTATTTGCTCCTTTGTTCATTTCCCCTTACACACTATCTTTTTGTTCCAATATAGAATCATAGTACTATCTTAAATGACATTTTAAAATGACAATAGTTTTACCAAGAATGCATGCGATTCAACAATGAAGTAACTATATGGTAACCAGCTATGACCATATTTGTGAATAGCTGGTATGACAACTATATGTGACTTCTGCCTAGCCAATGATTATAAGATGCATCCAGAATCACTGATGTGAGGAAATAGAGATGTCTTAGAATCAGTGAATATTTAGAAGGGAAATCTTATTGAGTACATGTTAAATTGTTTCATTAGTCATTTTAGCAAACATATAATTGAATAATAGGAGTTACAAGTATATATAAGACATTTATTCAGCTTCACAGCAGTGCTTGGTGTTGATTCTTTGCAATAATCCAAGGCTCATAGGTTGGAAAACATTCTAGACAGAGCAGAGATATGCAGAGAAAAGGTGCTTTTCTACACTGGACAGTGTAAGACGGTATTATAAATATTTGTAGTTTGTATTGCAGTCCTTCAAAATATTTTGGATTTTAAAATACAGATGGTGATTTATTTTTGTAAGTTGAAACAAATAAAATTGGAAGCAATTATGGATGACCTAAAAGCATTTTAAGTAATATAATCTCTTTAGCCTAGTTGATTTCCTAGTAATTCACTAGAGGGCAGTAGTAAGCAATAAAAGTTTTATTTCTGAATATGATAGTCTTTTCATACATTTTTCCCCCTCAAATAAGTTTGAGGTTGAATTGAAAAGATGGTTGTTTGAAGATCTTAAAGTTGTGTTGATGAAATGTTTTGTATAATGCCTTATGTCAAGTTTATCATAATCTAAATCTTATCGTTAAATTTCAGGTAATTATTGAAACTTAAACCTGCAATCCAAAAACAAGCTAAAAGCTAGGCAACTAAAACCATGACTATTTCTTTTACTTGCTCTCTTCAGACGATTAAAAACTCATTAAAAGATGCTGTATTCTGATCCTATGTGTTCAAGTATTTTCAAGGACATATTTTTTTTTCTCCCCTGAAACCTTTTACATTAAGCTATTTAGAAATTCAGTTCAGCTTTCTAATAAATATATGAATTTCATGTAAGGAAACAAGTTCATATGAATAAAGAATTTCTTTTAAAATGATTTTTGGTTAAATATCTCAAAGAAATTATTTTATCAATTTAATAAATGCTTGTTCTTAGAATAAAAGTAGGAGAAAAAAGAATTGAGAGAATCAACACTCTTAGATGAAATTCTGACATGTAAAAATGTAGATGAAGAAAGTAGATTTGCTCTAGAAAAGTAGCAGTAGGTCCCTGCATCACTAACTACCTGCCTTCCTCTCTCCTGTAGATACCTACCCAGAATCCTAAGAACTAGTCACAGAATACTTTGAAAACTACCCTTATTAAAGTCCTTGAGGGTATTAATTAGAGGAATGGTATAATCTGACTTGAGTGTGAGAGAAAGATCACATTGGATATGTTATAGAAGATGGGTTTGTAGAAAGTGAGACCAACAGATGAATGTATAGAATTTAGATGACCTGCATTTGAAAGTGGACTCTAAATAAGGGCCCCTTAGCTTCTCAGATATGGGAAACAAAATTAAAAAAAATAAAGAAATGGGACTACATGAAACTAAAGAGTTTTTGCACAGTGAAGAAAACCATCAAAACAAAGACAGCCTATTGAATGGAAGAACATATTTGCCAATACATCTGATAAGAGGTTAGCCAAAATATGTAAGGAACTCATATAATTTAACACACAAAAAAAACCCAAAACACCCTAATCCCATTAAAAAATGGGCAGAGGACCCGAATAGACATTTATCCAAAGAGGACAGTTGGCCAGTAGACATATAAAAAATGCTCAGCATCACTAATCATCAGGGAAGTGAAAATTAAAACCGCAGTGAGTTAACACCTCATCACTGTCAGAATGGCTGTTATCGATAAACCAACAAACAAGTGTTGGCAGGGATGTGGAGAAAAGGGAACCCTTGTGTACTGTTGGAAGGATTGTAAATTGGGTGCAGCCTTTATGGAAAACAGAATGGAGGTTTCTCAAAAAATTAAAAATAGAATTACCATATGAGCCAGCGATCCTAATTTTTGTTATGTATCCAAAGAATTCCAAAACACTAATTTGAAAAGACATTTGCATTCCTATGTTGATTGTACCATTATTATGATAATGAAGATTTGGAAGCAACCTAAGTATCCATAAAGATATATATAGAATAGAATGCTAGCCACATAAGGTACAGCACAGGGAATATAATCAATAATATTGTTATAACTATATATGGTGTCAGAAGGGTACTAGCTATCAACTTGATCACTTTATAAGTTATATAAATGTCTAACCACTATGTTGTATACCTGAAACTAATATATTGTATGTCAACTACAATTGAAAAATTTTTAAAAATAAACATTTAAAAATACAAAAGATTAAAAAATAAGGGCCACATTGTGAATATTGACTAGAACAACATATTGCTTGAGAAATAGTATTGAGTACTCAGGTAGTATATTTAGGGACCCAAATCTTTCCAACACAAAATAATATTCAAGAGGATAAAAATAAGACTAATTTGGAGGTGATTGTGAGGACGGAATTTACTTAAATTGGGTTTAATAAAATATTTCTGCCTTGGCATTTAGTTGTAAAAAGCCAACATTGTACTGGCCTTGTGTTCAAATGATATTTATAATAATAAAAGCTAACTAGAAAAGCTAACTTCTGGACGACCTTCAGGACAAAGTTGGGACTGTGAGAGAAGCCTGGGTCCCAGGTGCCTGCCAAAGGCCTGAGGGAAGCCCGGGTGCCAGTGGCCGGGGAAGGAAAGCCTACTCTTGCTCGAATTTTGTGCATCGGGGCCTCTAGTCATTACATAATACCATATATATATATATATATATATATATATATATATAATTCTTAAATGTTGTGTTCATTTTTTAATGGCATTTTAACCTGAAAATTGTGTTATATATATGGTGTTTCCCCCCAAAAAAATGTGTACACACATTATAAATAATTATAAAACCAGCGTTTACTAAAATGCATTTCATTTTCAGAATTGAGCTATCAGCTGTTAAAGTGCATATACCTTTTTTTGGGATATTTTGTATTTAAAATATTACTAAATTATATTTTTAATTTTGTCTTTTAGGCCTATGGCATGTCGGCATTACCTTTAAATCTTATAAAAGGCACGAGAAGTGCTGCTTATGAACGTTTAGAAAACACTGAAGACATTGAAGAAGTGGAACAACACATTCAATCAATTAAATCAAAAGTGAGTTGGTATCCTAATATATAAAAACTCAGGGTCCGTAATGTCCAGAACAACAGAAGGCTTGACTGAACACCAGAAGTCAATCTTGCAGTCATTGCTGAGTTGCCGTGGCCACAGAGATGTCTGACTGCCCACCAAGAGCCAGTAGTGTTGGATTATGAGAGGGATGTCCGATTGTCCATTTAGGCTCAATCTTGGTGGGCAGTGGGACATACCTTGAGGGGTCCCAGATTGAATAGGGTACAGGCTGGTGTGAGAGAAACATAACACACCCATAACCCCCGCTCGTGCACAAATTTTGTACACTGGGCCTCTAGTTTTATTATAATTGGAAAGCATCAAATTACTTTGAGCTACTTTCTGATGTTGACTTAGACTTTGGCAAACATTTTTTATATTGAATTGTTTTGCAACATATTCTTCAAAAGCCATGCCTATATTCATTTCTTTTTACTTTATTTTTTAGAATATATTTTTATTGATTTCAGAGAAGTGAGAGGGAGAGAGTTATAGAAACATCAATTATGAGAGAGAATCACTAATAGGCTGCCTCCTGCAATGCCCCACACTGGGGATTGACTGGGAATCGAATGGTGACTATTTTCATAGGACAACATTCAGTCACTGAGCCACACTACTGTGACCACACATTCACATTTTGGTGCTGACCTTGTTACATATATGTGCATTGTCACATAAAAATTGTTATTTTCCATTTGTAAATTTGTCTAAGGAGTCAAATCCAACCTAAAGAAGTTTCATTGCCTAATCTGCTAAATCTGATGGATTACTTTATTAAGACCTTAATGGTAAAAACTGTTATATTTGTTCTGTTGTTTGCAGAGCAAAGATGGTCGACCTTTGCCAGCAAGGGATAAACGCACCTTAAAACAACTTGAAGAAAGGTTACGAACGCTTAGGAAAAGAGAGAGGCGCTTAGAATTCATTGAAAACAGCTGCTGGACAAAATTTTGTGGCGCTCTGCGGCCCCTGAAGGTAAATGGTTTTTTTAAAATTATGCTGTCACTCTTCTTCCAAGTTTATATTGTACCTGTCAGAGGTTGAATTCTCCTTTAGAGGCAATACAGCATGGTGCTCAAGAGCATTTTGGAGTTAAAATAATCTGGGCTTGAATCATAGCTCTTTCATTTAGTAGTTTGGGCAAGGTATGTAACTCTCTAAACTTCATTTACTCATGTGTAATGCAAGTGTTATATCAACATAGTTGTTGGGAAATCTAAGTTAAAATATAGATAAGTAATGTAACAATAGCATATTTTGTTAAGTTGTACTTTTCTATAAATAAGAGATCTGGGACTCATAATAAAATTTAGGAGCCCTAACTGGAAAGTAATAGCGTGTTTTTTTTTTAATCAATAGATGATATATGGCAAAAACTATGTAAAAAGGTATTATTTGAGATGGAAAACCATTACTTTTTTTGGGGGGTGGGAGCATCATTTGCTAGCCTTGAATTCTTGGAAGTATGGTATCTAAACATAAGTATCTGAATTGAGGCCCTGGCTGGGTAGCCCGGTTGATTAGAGCATCATCCTGATAAGCCAAGGTTGGGTGTTCAATCTCTTATCAGGGCACATACAAGAAACAACCAATTAAATGCATACAAATAAGTAGAACAAGAAATCAGTGTTTCTCCCTTTCTCTCTCTTTCTAAAATAAAAATAAAGCTATGATTATTTTAAATAAATAAATTGAATTAAGGTCATCATAATATGACCCTGAATCTAAAAATAACTAGAACTGATGGCCATAAATTTCTATATGTGCCCATGCTGTATTTGGCATTTCAAATACCAGGGCTTTGTATACCATAAGTAATTCAGAAAGGGCAGTGTATAGATTGGTTTGAGTAAAGTTGGGCCAAACGAAGCTAGAAATGGTTTTTGGCTAAATTGTTTAAAAGGTGTTTTATAGAACCCCTCAGAGGTCAAGTCAGGTTGAGTTCTAATGCTGCTATGTCTTCCTCTTATAATTAAAAAGGAAGTGAGATAATGCAGTGACTTGACTGCTCACTCCAAAAAACTACTTTTTTAAAGAGTTTCTCAATAATTACCATATTACAACATGAAAAGACCTGAAGTATCCCACCTAATAAAAGAGTGATATGCAAATTAACCACCTTTCTGCTCAAGCCACGCCCACCAGCCAATCAGAGTGAATATGCAAATCAACCTCAACCAAAATGGCTGCAGCCACAGAGAGCAGTTGAGAGGCTTGGGTTTCCCCGACAACGGAAGCCAAGCTTTCCTCCTGCCGTAGCCAGCCTAGGCCTCCACTCAAGGATACAAAGTTTCCATTATAGAAGATAAATCCCAAGAAAAATGGTGGCAGCCATGGAGCTGGAAAGAGCAGGCTAGGGTTGCCCCTGGCAACAGAGGAACCAAAGCTTTCCACCTGCCCTGGCTGGCCTAGGTCTCCACTCAAGGCTACAAAGTTTCAATTACAGAAGATACATAAATCCAAACAGAAATGGCGGCAGAGTGAGCAAGGGCCTTGGCTCTGCTCCAGGCTACAAAGTTTCAATTGTAGAAGGTAAATAAATACCAGGGCCTCCGCTTGAGTCACCAGGGGGCATGGCCGGCCTGCAAACCATGACAGGCCCCCCTCTCAGGCTGCACCACATCCCAAGGGAACCCCACCCTGATCCGGGACACCCTCAGGGCAAACCAGCCGGCCCCCACCCATGCACCAATCCTATCTAATAATCTCACCAATCCTATCTAATAATCTAATAAAAGAGTAATATGCAGATTGACCATCACTACAACACACAAGACTGCTGCTCCTGTGTGGTCAAAGATCCTGCCCCCATGTGGACACAAGATGGCCACCACAAGATGGCCAGCAGGGGAGGGCAGTTGGGAGGCACCAGGCCTATAAGGAAGGGCAGTTGGAAGTGATCATCCTGCAGGGGAGGGCAGTTAGGGATGGCCAGGCTGGCAAGGGAGCAGTTAGGCATCAATCAGGCTGGCATGGGAGTGGTTAGGGGGTGATCATGCTGGCAGCAGAAGTGGTTAGGGGCAATCAGGAAGGTCGGCAGGCGAGCAGTTGGGAGTCAGCAGTCTTGGATTGTGAGAGGGATATCTGACTGCCCACTGGGATCGGGTCTAAGCAGGCATTCGGACATCCCTCGAGGGGTCCGAGATTGGAGAGGGTGCAGGCTGGGCTGAGGGACACCCTGCCCCACCCCGCGCACGAATTTTGTGCACCGGGCCTCTACTAGTATGCTGAGAGAAATAAGCCACTCAGAGAAAAGATAAGTATCACACAGTCTCATTTATATGTGGAATCTAATGAACAAAATAAACTGATGAACAAAACAGATCCAGAGACATTGAAGCATGCAACAGATTGAGTTATTTCTGAGGGAAGCGGGGAGAGAGGGGAGGAAGAGATTAACAATGAATTTATATGCATAGCCATGGACAGACAATAGTGGTAGAGGTGGAGGGACTTGGGGAGGGGCTGGAACAGGGTGGAGGGAATCAGTGGGAGGATGGGGGAAGGAAAGAGACATCTGTAACACTTTCAACAATAAAGATAAATTTAAAAAAACAATCAGTTCTATGTATCATTAATTTAACCTAATGTTAGAATCCTTTTTTTTAAATTCACCCTAATCCTTTTTTCCAAAAAGATTTGTCTTTATAGTACCAAAGGTATGATAAAGCCTTCTCCAACCTTATCTTAATTTTAAATTGTAGCTTCTTATAAATATTTATAACCAATTTGTAACATTAACTGCCTTGTTTTAAACATGCTGTATGATCCATTTCACTGAACATATGCTCAAAGGGATTGATTTTACCAAATATATATACTATATATAGAACATCTACATTATCCCAAAAAACTACTTTGTCTCCCCCTGCTTCCTTGAGCACAGACCCCAGATAACCACTAATGCACTTCTGTCTCTATACTTTAGTTTTATGTGTTCTATAATTTTGTATAAATGAAATAAAAATATGTGATCTTTTTTTTAAAAAATATATATTTTATTGATTTTGTACAGAGAGGAAGGGAGAGAGATAGAGCGTTAGAAACATCGATGAGAGAGAGTCATCGATCAGCTGCCTCTTGCACACCCCCTACTGGGGATATGCCCGCAACCAAGGTACATGCCCCTGACCGGAATCGAACCCGGGGCCTTTCAGTCCCCAAGCCGACGCTCTATCCATTGAGCCAAACCGGTTTCGGCAAAATATGTGATCTTTTAACAGTTTATTGGGGAGTGTATAGTTTTTTGTCTAGCTTCTTTGGCTCAGCCCAATGTTTTTGAGGTTCATCCATGTTGTTGCATGTTTTTAAAGTGGTTCGTTCTGTTTTATTGGTGATTAGCACTCCAGTGCATATCTATGTCACAGTTTGTTTATCCACTTATCTGTTAGTGGATTTCAGTTGTTTCCACTTTGAGACTATTATGAATAATGCTTATGTAAACATTTGTGCATAAATCTTTGTGTAGACATGTGTTTTCATTTAATTCATTTTTTTTTCCTTGGGTAAATACCTGAGTAGAATTGCTGGGTCTAATGTTCAATATATGTTTACTTTTATAAGAAATGGCCAAAATATTTTCTAAAGTGGTTGTACCATTTTGCATTCCTATAGCAACATAATTGCTCCATGTCGTCAGTGGTGGCACGGAGCGGGGCTGCCAACAGACAGGGAGCCAGGGGCTGCGGCAGGAGGGGCCGGGCTGGACCGTGGAGGATGGGCCGAGACCCACCTCTGTGCCCAGCACAGCCTCACGGCCCGCAGTTTCTTTCAAGGTGCACGATTTCATGCACTGGCCCCTTGTTTAACAACACTAAGTCTTTTAATCCAGGAACATAGGATGTCATTCCATTTATTTGTCTTTCTTCCTTTCCTTCTGCAATATTTTGTAGTTTTAAGTGTGCGTGTGTGTGTGTGTGTGTGTGTGTGTGTGTATAATATATATATATATATATATATATATATATATATATATATATATATATATATATATATATAAATTTGCCTCCTTGTTTAAATTTATTTCTAAGTATTCTTTTTGATGTTATATAAAGGAACTTTTTAAAATTCTTTTTCAGATTACTCAGTGTTAGTGTTCACATACTTTTAAAAACATGTTTATGTTTATTTGAAGAAGATCCCAAATAAAGAACTGCTAAAATTTGTAATTTGGGTTGCCCCATTTCTTTCCCAACCTTCTAAGAAATAAACAGACCTAAATATAACTATATTTCATAAGGTAAGCAAGTAGTGAAATTTAATTTTTTTATATACGGACGGTGTGTAGTTGTTTTGAAGGTCTGTGAGAATATTTAAAAATTTTTTTACTCATTTCTGTCATCCTAGAATCCACTGAAATTGAACATGTTTAAAGATGTGGCAGATGTCCTTCAGTAGTAGCATTTAAAACATGGTGGCTATTCTTTATTATTGGCCACACTATGTCAAAATGCCTAAAGGCAATGACTGACTCTTTCTAGCTCTAAAGTGGGCTTGTTAAATATTTATTGGAAGTAATAACTACCCATTCCAGAGTTTTACTTGATCATTTTTTATTTGAGAGGTTCATTTTGGGTTATAGTGTAGTGCTTCTTAATTTACAGCACTGAGGCTCTAGTACCTAGAAAAGCTTGGATTGGGGCTTGGAAATCAGGGGCTAATCAATACAATACCTGTTTTTTTCTGCTTGTGTTTAAGAACAACTCATTTAATACCTGTTGTTGATTCATCAATAACAGTATTACTCATACCTGAACAAAGCTTACATAAGTATTTTTCAGTAATTGTGGACTTAGCTTTGTGAACTCTTCAGCTTAGCTGTCTTTAGAACTTGAGAAGATCTCAAGGAGAAAAAAGCCTAGGTTATTATTAATAACACCGGTTTTACCCCTTTTTAATTCTGGAACTTTATTTCTTACTGTAGAAACCTAGTTCCAATAATTGTTTTGCTTAGTTTCTACCTTCCCTAATATAAAGTTTAGGTATTAAAAGGAAATATGCCCCACCAATTACATTGCTTAACACATTTCTCCACAGAAACATGGTTTTACATGACAATTTATTTAGTGCTACTAGTATTCTATTTCAGGAATATTTTCAGTTATATAGTCTTTTCTGTACTATGATATATTTTGTCATATATAATTGGCATATATAATATATGTATATATTAATGGTATATGTGTGTGTGTGTGTGTGTGTGTGTGTATTATGTATGTCTATATACATCATTATTTCTATGGGAAAATGTTCCAAATTTCATATTTTAACAAGTTAAATATAACCTATTAAGTATTTTGGTTTTGGTTTTTTTTTGTGTGTGTATACTAGTCTTAATGTAGTCTTATTAGTCTTAACTTTTCAATTAATTTTGAAGTTTACTGGTATGTGTGAGTATAACTGGATATAAATAAACCTTTAATTTGACATAGCAAAGAGTCTCATTTGTTTACCTACAAATGAAGACTTTCAAATGCTTTGTCTGTTTTGTGTATGTTCTCAGTCTCATAATGGAAATTTAGATAACAAATGTCTAAAAATATATACTAAATTAAAATGTATTGTGGATCATTTTGGATAAATCATGGTCATATACCAACAACTCATATTGAACATATGGTTTTGGCTTTTGATGTCAACTTTTAGAACTATAGTTCAGTGACTTTTTTTTACTATTATTATTATTATTTTTTTTGCCTTTAGATCATTTGGGGAATATTTTTCATCTTAGTTGCATTGCTGTTTGTGATCTCTCTCTTTTTGTCAAAGTAAGTACACTAGACACATTTACTAAAACACTTATATAAATCCTATGATGTTACTTTCCATGCTGAATAATTCTATTAGTGTAGTCTGTTTATTATATGTTCAGTAGCCATTTTACTTGAAGTGTTCTATAGCATTGACTCAAAGAATGAATAAAACATTTCAATAGTAGTTAGTATTTATTCTTTATTAATTGACCAATTTGTAAGATATTTAAATGAGGTTTAATTTGTTTTTTGAGGTTTTCTTTGACTCAGTTGAATTTGCATGATTATGTTTTATATGCTTAAGTTATAAATTAATGGAAAATGTGGTCCTGTAATATATAAAAATCACTATAACTTTTATTTTACTTTTTTAGTTTGGATAAAGCTCTTCATTCAGCTGGAATCAATTCTGGTTTCATAATTTTTGGAACTAATCTGAGTAATCCACTGAATATGCTTTTGCCTTTACTACAAAGAGTAAGTAAAAAGAACAATCACTTTATACTCTAGCACATATTCTTACAAACTGTCAAATTATTACATTGAAAAACATATTAATACTTGGCAAGATATGCTTGTGCCCTCTGCTGATTTGGCTTATTTATACATTGCTTTTACATTGATATGTTGCTTTAAGGATTATTATATTGGTATATTGCTGAGCTCTTAAGGTAAGCTTTTTAAGCAATTCCTGTTTTTAATTTTTGATGAAGTTTTTTATTCATATTTAAATGTAATTTCTAGCTTAATTTGTTATAGGATTTTTTTTATGATAATGGCACTAAACAATTTGGTAATAGTTTGGTAATTGTTTTGGTGAGTTTTTTTTATAGTAGATTAAAAAAAATTTTTATATCTTTTTTATAGTATTTTATTGGAGAGGGTGCAGGCTGGGCTGAGGGACACACACACACACACCTCATGCACAAATTTTGTGCACTGGGCCTCTAGTTTTAAAATGAAGCTGTGTCAGATTGAGACTACTTCCACCTGTGAGTATAAGAAAAACCATTTAAAAGAGTATAATAAAAACCATTTTTATTTTTTATTTTTATAGATCTAAATCAGGGTTGATATTTTAAACATTTGTCAAATATAAATAATGACATTTTAGTTAATTTTGTATGACTTCTAAAATCCTGCATGTGTATTGAATTTATTTTCTTTTTTTTTAGGTTTTCCCTCTTGATTACATTCTTATAACAATTATTATTATGTACTTTATTTTTACTTCAATGGCGGGGATTAGAAATATTGGCATATGGTTCTTTTGGATTAGAGTGAGTATATATTACAATATTATTACTTTCATTTTGTTCATACTCTTTATTATTGAAAATTATCTTAGATTTATAATATAGGAGTTATAAATACATTGATACTAAAAGTGATAGAAAATTAGTTTTTTCCTTTATGCTAACATAAAAGCGCTTTTGTATAGAGCAATGGTTATTAAATAAGAGTGATTTACCCCCTGGATACTTTTGGCAATGTTGTAGATATTTTCATCTGCTACCACTAGGGGGCGCTATTAGCACCTCGTTGATAGAGGCCAGGGATTCTGTGGTTCACAGGGCAGCCTCAGACAACAAGAACTCATCCAGCCAATAATGTCACCCCTGTCAAGGATGACAAGCTCTGATCTAGAATTTAAATTATTTCCCTTAATGTTTGGCTTCAGGAAACACATTGAAGCACAATAGGATATTCTGCTGTTCAAAAGATGCTCCTTTCTACTAGGAAGTAAAGATCATTACATGATTAGAGAAAGGGTTACTTTCTTCTCATGTTCATTTTGAGGTGAATTTTTAAGAACCCTATATAATAAAGAGGTGATATACAAATGGACCATCACTCCAATACACAAGATGGCTGCCCCAATGTGGTCAAAGATGGCCACCACAAGATGGCCAGCAGGGGGCAGTTGTGGGTGATCAGGCCAGCAGTCGAGGGACCAGGCCTAAAAGAGAGGGCAGTTGGTGGCGATGAGGCCTGTAGGAGAGGGCAGTTACAGGTGACCGGGCCAGCAGAGGAGGGCAGTTGGGGGCAACCAGGCCTGCAGGGGAGCAGTTAGGTGTCGATCAGGCTGGCAGGGGAGTGGTTAGGGGTTGATCAGGCTGGCAGGCAGGCAGGCGAGTGGTTGGGAGCCAGCAGTCCTGGATTGTGAAAGGGATGTCTGACTGCCCGGTTAGTCTGATTGGGCCTAAATGGGCAGTCGGACATCCCTCAAGGGGTCCCAGATTGGAGAGGATGCAGGCTGGGTTGAGTAACATTCCTCTCCCCCGTGCATGAATTTCCGTGCACTGGGCCTCTAGTTTTAAAATGAAGCTGTATCAGATAGAGACTACTTCCACATGTAAGTATAAGAAAAACCATTCAAATAGTGGCTTGAACTAATGAGTGACTTCTTGCTAAGGAAAAAAAAAATCTAACATTGGTTTACTATCTCAAACATGTCAAATCCAATATCTCTATTTATTCTGTCCACTTTACATAAGGAAAAGTTAGTTGGGAGGAAGCAGTGACACCTATAATAAAACAAAACTTTCCCAGAAATCTCCAGTAGACTTTGACTTTTCTTTGATATTTAATATTTTATCACTGCCAGCCACTACTAGGTGCAAGGGAAGCTGGGAAAGGTAAAATTTTAGTTATTTTGTCATCATCCCATCCAGAACTGGAATTCTACTACTCTATGTTATACTACAATCCAGTAATAAGACAGGTAGGTGGTACCTTAGTTGCTAAAATAAAAGTGTGCTCTGCCATTGAAGCATATGTTTTAGTTTTGTTCTAGTATAGGTACATATGAGAATATATAGTCATATTGTCATAAACTAGATTTTATGACAGTATGAGGATGTTGAGTATTTCACAGAAATGAGTATTATAGTGATGTAATTCTTGTGTATTATTATATAAAACCACAAATAAATACTTAGAGTTTAAACTAATTCTTCTAACTTTTAGATAGAATTAGAGGTAGTTCTTAGCTCAATGAACTTCTAACAGATGCTATTGCATAATAAATTTAGAATGTTTGTCTGGAAACAGACCATGCAAATACTGATATATTCTCTGGGTCCTCAGTTTTTAATTAATAATTTAAAGGTTCCTTTATATATAAATGCTTTGTCATGATCCTATCTAATAAAAGGGTAATATGCAAATTAATTGTCACTCCATCACAAAGATGGAAGCACCCATAGCCACAAGATGGTGGCGCCCTGGGCCGCAGAGAGCCTCTGGGCAACAAGTGTGGAGCAGCCAGGCCCTGCAGAGAGCTACTGGTGCACGGATTCATGCACAGTGCTACTAGTCTATAGTAATAAAAGCTTAATATGCTAATTAGACCGGACAGCCAAATGACCTTCCGGACGAAGCTGCCGCAGCAGGGGTAGAAGCAAAGGCAGTTAGGGGTGATCACGCAGGAAGGCAGGAGTGATTAGGAGCAATCAGGCAAGCAGGGGAGCACTTACGGGCAATCAGGTAGGCAGGCAGGCAGAGTGGTTAAGGGCAATCAGTCAGGTAGGCAGGTGAGCAGTTGGGAGCCAGCAGTCCCAGATTGTGAGAGGGATAGGACCTAAACCGGCAGTCGGACATTCTACAACAGGTCCTGGATTGTGAGAGGATACAGGCGGAGCTGAGGGACAACCCCCTCCCATGCACGAATTTCATGCACTGAGCCTCTAGTTTTAAACAAATCTAAACCTGAAAGCTGTTCAGGGAGAAAATTATTTTTACCATCCTTATAATTATTTAGAATGATTAAGAATTCTTAGTATTTATTTTGAAAAAAGAAATGGTTGATTAACCTGTGTTCCTTGCCCCTAAAACATGAGCAGGACTTATTGCCTTACAAATAAATATATTGCTAAAATGTTGTTACTGTCTTTTTTCTTTCCAGTTATATAAAATCAGAAGAGGCAGGACCAGGCCCCAGGCACTCTTATTTCTGTGCATGATACTTCTGCTTATTGTACTTCACACTAGCTATATGATTTATAGTCTTGCTCCCCAGTATGTTATGTATGGAAGCCAAAATTACGTAATAGAGGTAAGTGCAAAACCTAAAATTCATTATTTTAATATTTTAAGTAAACTGATCTTTTAAAGCAAATTTTAATTTATGAAAGCTAGCATAAGATATGAGCTCATCAGATTAAATTTAACTTTGCTAAACCTGTTTTTTATTCAATTTTTTAGCATATTTATATTTGTTTCTTACAAGTTCTTTTTAAAAATAAAACACTATTTATTAACATATTTTAAAAATGGATCCCATGATGGATCCTACTGAGCTTTACATCGGAACTTGAATAAAACCCGTATCATTTCCTCTAAAATAGCATTTTAAGTAAATTCATTAATATAGTTCCTTAAAAAGTTTTGGTAAGAAAAATATGTCCGTTCATCAGTACTATGAGGTGCTTTTATAAATATTTTATTTGTAGGTTACTGAGTGTTCTCTTACCTGTGACACTGATTTTTTTATTTTTTTATGTTGATCTTCCAAAAGCAGCTGTGGTTCCTATTTATAATTGGGCAGCTAATTTGTTTTTTTTGACAATTTAAAATATTTTGGCCATGTCTGATTCAACCTTTGTTTAGTTGTTTTTTTCCTTTCCTTAAAATATTCATATCTAATCCATGTTTCAGGGTCTTGTTCAAGCCTTGCTTTAATAGAGTCTTATTGTTAATCTAGTCTGCTCATTTCATTCCTTTTTTTTATCCTGTACTTTATCCTCCATTCTTTTGTACTTTAACATGTAGTTAGGGACAAAAGCATCTAACTAGAACATCAAACCCTCAATCAATACCATCTATAATATTGCTAAGTATTGAAAAGTTAGTTCATTAAATAAAGTTAAGTAATAATGTGGGAGGAACAATCATAGTGGAGATACAGGAATGGCGAGTTTGGGAAACACAATACTAGATCACCCGAATCATAAATCTTACTTTATACTTTTTAATCCTCTTTTTGCCTCATCCCCAGCACGTAATTAACTGGGTCATACTTTTTAAACATTTTTCTTTGACTGAATGAAGATTGTGCTTTTACATGAACCAAAGGTATCCTTTTCTTGCTTCACTGTGGAAAAATAAGTGGGTTCTTTCTCTGGGAAGAAGCTCTGTTGTTCAGCACAGGACCTAAGGATTGTTGCAATAAAATCTCCATGTTAAATTTATCTTAAAACTTACTATGTAGAGTATTAGTTAGATGTAGGTGAATAGAAAACATAGTATAAAATTAATGTGATTACTTTTGGAATCAAAATATGATTTTTAATTTTCATGTTTCAGAGCAATATTACTTATGATGACCATAAAGGCAACTCAACCCTTTCTGTGCCAAAGAGATGTGATGCAGATGCCCCTGAAGGTAAAGCAAGTCTTACAACTGTAAGAAAAGTATTGCCTTACAGTTTGCGGTGTTAATTATTTGGTGGGTTTTTTTTTTTTTTAATATATAGCGACAGAGGAACTTTTAGCAAGAAGAAATTGTAAATCTCTTTCAGTAGAATTTCTTGATGATATAATAATTTTAATTAAGGAAAAGACCATTATAAATTAATTGCTTAGGAAGTAATAAAGGTAGGTGTAATTTATCATATTTACTAATATAAGAAGCCGCTCTTAAGTTTTTTTTCTTTGGTGGAATACATAATTTTTAGAACCAAGATCAAAAGTATCTGTGACCTAAAATAGACTTTAATTTGTCCAAACCTAGTCACTTTAGTTAATAATGTTAACGGTAATAGCATTAATTTTTAAGAACATATCATTGTGTTCCAGGCACAGTGCTAAGTATTTCATGTGTATTCTGAGAAAAAACTCTGATCCTGAGCTCCTAACCTCTTATGTATTTTTAGAGAAACACTTTTCCTCCACTATTTTCTGTGAGCTAAGGTGATTATTTTCCCTTTGAATATTATAATATTTTGTCCTGATTAGGGATTTCAGATTTATTCCTTCAAAATTTACAGGGTTTTTTTTTTTGTTTTGTTTTTTTATACTTTGCCTTCAAAATGCTTTTATTTCAGGGTAAAGTAATACGTCAAATAGAGTAGATTTCTTCATAAACCATTCATGGATATCATTATGGAAAACATAAATTCTGAGTTTTTTAGTAGGGCCAACTATAGAATGTGATGGCGTTACAGGAATAGGTTCAGAATACAGGGATAGCTCAGAGGAAGAAGTAATTTACTCTTTCTGGAGAAGATCATTGTAGAATGGAAGTAAAAAAGAAACCAGAACTTCAAGGTTAAAGATTTATCTGGTCTGTGTGCACCTAGAGAAGGCTTTTGTATGCAGAGGGACAAAACACAGATAAAATGATCTTAAACTCTATGGGTATATGTTCAAAAGAATTTAAAACATTGTGTGTTTTTTTTAATTATGGGGATAGGGTATTGGAGAGGAGAAAATGAGATTGCATAGTTAGGATCAGGTCACAAAAGGTCTTGCAAAATAACTAAAGGGTCAGTAGTTTTAAATATTAAATAGATGTTATAATCTGATTTCTTTTCAGTAACTTAATTATAACAATTTCATAGAGAACAGATTTGTGAAATTGAGACCAGAACATAGAAATCTTGTATGAGGTGTTGCCTAAGAGAGCTATTTATAATAATCCAAAAGAGATAGTGGTCATGAGGGTGTGAAATGAAGAAAGAAATTTGTGGGTTTAATTTAAAGAATTTCTTATTGCTTGGACCTAGAGCAGTGACAAGGAAAATAGAGAATTCTAGATTGGTCCTCTTGTTACTGTGTAGTTTGGTAAATTTCAGTTTCACCAAACTGAGATAAAAATTCATACTAAGGTTAGAGAAAAGTATAAGAAATGATTAATTGACTTGATATATCTCAGGAGTATTCAGGTGGAGATTTTATAGGCAATTGAATGTATATGAAAGGAATTTTGAGAGTAGAGAATGAGAAGAGCATGAAGACTGGAACTCAGAGGAAAATCTAAGTGCAAAGGAGGTACAGAGAAAAGCAGTGCAAAAATGCTAATGGAGATAAAAATTAATTGTATTTGAATAAAAAGGAATATAAATGAGTTTACTTAGTCTGCATAGGAATTCTTAATAGATATTGAGAAGAGATTGGATGGAAACTATAGAAGGCATTCAGAATTGCAGACTTTTTTTTTTTTTTTTTTAAAGATTAGGAGAGACTTAAGGATGGTGGGATAAAACTAGAGTGGGAGTGGTTGAATAAAAATATTAAAGGATGAATGATGGACCAGTATCATTCATTTCTGGAGGAGATGATATTAAGAACATCAAGACAGAATGCTTTCTGTAAATTGTGAGGAAGGAAGCAATGATGTGGACTCAGGGTGGGCAGGAAGTTTGCATTTCTGGATGATTGTCTCAATTTGATATGAAGTGTTAAGCTTAGGTCATCTGCTGATAATTGAGTGGGCACAAAATTGAAAAAAAAAAGTGTCAAATGTTTTGATAGGCCATTAAAGTGAATAGAAGAGGGATCTGACTGAAGATAGATATCAAGGGACAGAGATGAAATGATCAATTTATATTTTTGTTGAAAAGATCGGTAAACTGGTATGATTATTTTTCATCGATTCTTAGGTTGTTTGGGGAAGGTGGTTAAAGAATGAAGTGGGATGAAAACAAAGGACAAGCTGAGTGGTAGAGAATGAAGTGACCAACCTCAGAATTCAGTATTCATAGAAAATAAAGAGGCTAAAACTGGGAGAACAAGAGAAGGGAACACAGATATAGTAGCGATACCTTTTTGCCCCAAGAAATAATAGTAAAATATTTCTAGGATAAATAATATACTTGATTTTCCAGTTCTACATTTTAATGACTTCAGGCCTAGAGTTTTTACTTTAAAATGTGCCTACACACATCATAAGTAGGATTGGTAATTGAAATGTTTTGGGTTGTCACTTTTAGCTAAATGCAAATAGAATGAAAAATTAAATGTTGAGTTAATCTGTAATATTTTAAAACAAGAAGGCAGTGATCCTGGAGATCTAAAATTATTAAGATTTTGTTTCTTAAATTATTGTACTGCTATTGAAACTTTAAGCAAAAATGCAAAACAAAACAAATCAAGATTTCGGAATTACCTCAAACTTATGTGAGGCTTTAAGAATGCCTTTATATTGCTGAACTGAATGAATATGTATAGCATAGGTCAATAAAGGTTAGTGAAGTGATATACTTGACCATGACATTTTTATGAATCACATTTAGTATTTTTCTTTTTCAGTCTAATCTAATTTATAGTGCTTAAAATGGCTCCTTTTGAACTATTTAATATTTTTCTTAAACATTGAAGTTGACTTATTCTTTGAAATGCTACTTTGCAGTACAAAATATACCCTTTAGTTTGTGGAGTTGATTTATAAAAATCACTTCCAACCTTTTTCTGTTCTCAACCTACCTCCAAATTTAAATTTACTTGTGCATATTTGGAAAAGAACGATAGAAATATAATCATTGAATTTCAAGTGTCAAGGTACATTTGTAAAAAGAGAATTCTTTAAATAAAAATAATGGTGGGAAAAATGAAAAAGCAAATGAAGGCATGGGACTTAACACGGGTGGAGATGGGGTGGAAGGTGTGGTGATGGGCTGGTGCGACTATTTATTTAAAGGGAAACTAGTGACATTGTGACGTTTTGGTAGGAACATTTGATTAAGGTGGATGATGGTATAATATAAGTTCCTCAGACACTCGATGGCATCTTTGTTATTTGGTTATGGCAAATAACAGAATTTTGGAGAATAATTTTACATTTAGAAACAAAAATTATAATTTACAGTGTTATAAATAAAATTATTTCTAAAACATATTAAAGCAATGATTTTTAAAACTACATATATTGATCTCTTATCAATTTTAAATATACTTTAGAGACTTTTAAAGTAATATTGTGTTCATATTTGGGGTGACCTGGCATTTATTAAACATATTAAAAATATTACTGAAACCCCAGTTTCAGGTATTTATTATGTGTCTGATCCAAAAGAGAGTTATTCATCTAAAAATAGTTTAGGTTCTTTGTGTTTAAAATAATATTTTAAAGGATAGAACAATTTAGAAAATTTATAAAGAATGCCTATTATACTATACTAGTGGACCTGTGCATGAAATTCATGCATGGGGGGGGTGGGGTACGTATGTGTCCCTCAGCCTGGCCTGCACCCTCTCCAATCTGAGACCCCTTGAAGGATATCCTACTGCTGGTTTACAGGGATCGGGCCTAAACTAGCAGTCAGACATATCTCTTGGAATCTGGGACTGCTGGCTCTTAACTGCTCACCTGCCTGCCTGCCTGCTGTCCCCCAACTACCCCCTCCCCACCAGCCTGATCACCCCCAACTGCCCCCCCCTGCTGGCCAGCTCACCTCACCTCACCTTCCCTCCCCACTGTCCAGCTTGCCCCCAACTGCCCCCCTACTGGCCTGTTCACTCCAAAATGCCCCTCCCTGCTGTCCTGATCACCTCCAACTGACCCCCACTGATGGCATGCTCATCCCCAAATGCCCTCCTGCTGCCAGCTTGTTTGCCCCTAAATGCCCACCCTGCCAGCCTGATCACTCCCAACTTCCCCCTGTGCTCACCCCCAACTGACCCTCCTGCTAGTCTGCTTACTCCCAATGGCCCCGCCCCCCACCAGCCTGAACACTCGCAACTGCTGTCCCATTCTGGCCTGATCACCCACAACTGCCCTCCCCTCTTGGCCTCTAACTGCCTCTACCTCAGCCCCACCACCATGGCTTTGTCTCCAGGAATGTCTCCCAGTCTAATTAGCATATTATCTTTTTATTAGTATAGATAAAGGCCTGGTGCATGGGAGAGGGCTGGCTGGTTTGCCCTGAAGGGTGTTCTGGATCAGGGTGGGGGTTCCCTTGGGGTGTGGGGCGACCTGGGCCAGGGGTCTGTGGTGGTTTGCAGGCTGGTCACGCCCCCGTGGGGTAAGGGTACCCACTAGGGGGGGCATGGCTAGCATGGGTGAGGGGCTGAGGTCTGTTTTTAAGCTGGCCACAGCCCCTTCAGGGTGGGGGTCCCTGCTGGGGTGCCTGTCCAGCCTGGGTGAAGGCTGAGGCTGTTTGCAGGCTGGCCACATCCTCTTTAGGGTGGAGGTCTCCACTGGGGTGCCTGGCAAGCCTGAGTGATGGGCTGTTGGCTGTTTGCAGGCTGGCCACACCCCCCAACAACCCAAGTTCCCAGCCCCTCCTTTTTTTTTTTTTTTTTTTATCACCTCCTTGAGTGGCGGCCAGGGCCAGCTGGAAGTAGGTATTTGGGATTTATTTATCTTCTATAATTGAAACTTTGTAGCCTTGAGCAGAGGCCAGGGCTGGCCAGGAAGCTTGGCTTCCTCCATCCACAGCGGCA